CTGGTGTTAAGTGGTTACCGGCGCCCATAGACATCTGCAACGTAAATGCGCCACCCACCTTGAGATATCAGTTGCAAGGTCTCAAGTATAGTTACAACGGCTGCCCCGCCCTTCAAACTAAAACGCATTACTGCTTCACGGCAGAAATAGGAAGGGTGGTGGTACCTACCCGCGCGGACTCTCAAGAGGTCCTACCACCAGTCTCACATTTCCATTCACAATAGTCGACGTTAATCTAACTTTAACCATAAGTCTATTTTAATATTTATCCTTAATGTTATCCTCCCAACACAGATCTACTCAAATAACCTACATTTGTGATGATTTGTAAATTACTATTCCATTAACTAAATAATAAGCTGAATGTTTGAAATGAAAAATGAAAACATCAAATAGCAATACACACGGTGAAGGAATAACATCGTGTAATAAAAATGAAACCCGCAAAATTATAATTTGCGTAATTACTGGTGGCAGGACCTCGTGTGAGTCCGCGAGGGTAGGTACCACCGCCCTGCCTATTTCTACCGTGAAGCAGTAATGCGTTTCGGTTAGAAGGGTGGGGCAGCCGTTGTAACTATACTTGAGACCTTAGAACTTATATCTCAAGGTGGGTGGCGCATTAAGGTTGTGGATATCTATGGGCTCCAGTAACCACTTAACACCAGGTGGGCTATGAGCTCGTCCACCCATTTAAGCAATAAAAAATAAATAAAAAACCACAAACATATGTCTGCGAGATTTACTATATCAATTTTACAACAAAATAATAGTCTGTGAGACGTGTGAACGAAGCATAGACATGGGTTGGCAGAGCGCGACGCACCCTTCCGATTAAACTTCCCACTTCGCTCGATATCCGTCTGCGTACGAAGTACGAAAACTAATTATATTACTATGTAGGCTCATGTTTATACAAAACAAAATGAGCAATTTAATTGGAGAACGAAATAGCTTCAGTCCCCTAGTGATTACAGTTATTAATTTGCGTAAAAATAATTATGTACGTTTTCCTGCTTGTAATCGATAACATTCGCATACGTATGTCGTTAAACACGTATATGCTCGTTCATTTTGATAAAAAAAATTGTAATGATGTAGATGGGTCATAAACTCGTCAAAAACAAATTCGTATATTGCCAAGTTCGGGTTAAATATTCCGAAAAATTACATTTTGAAGAAGACACTGGTGGTAGGACCTCTTGTGAGTCCGCACGGGTACCACCGCCCCGCCTATTTCTGCTGTGAAGCAGTAATGCGTTTCAGTTTGAAGGGTGGGGCAGCCGTTGTAACTATACTGAGACCTTAGAACTTCTATCTCAAGGTTCGTGGCGCATTTACGTTGTAGATGTCTATGAGTTCCAGTAACCACTTAACACCAGGTGGGCTGTGAGCTCGTCAACACATCTAGGCAATAAAAAATGAAAAAAAGACATTTATTTATTAGCTAATGAATCCACATGAAACTTTTTCTAACACAAAAAAACAACAATTCCATTACGTAATAAAATTCGTACATTGTTACGTGAATTTAACGACATATTCTTTTTATTACGTGTTATAGAACGAAACGTGTCCCATTGATATTTCCGAAATATCACAACACGGAAACATAGATTCGGTGCGAAGTTAAATTTCGTGACCCAAAAACCGGTGGCAGGCACCTTAGTCTCTTTTATGTCGGAAACCACATCATTAATAACGTCTATTATTATTCTTTAAAATGTTTCTTGTGGGGGAATGTGTAAGGGAAGATAGAGGGAAATCTTTGAAAACACATTGCAAAAAAAAAGGTCCGAAATTCCTTACTTATTTAGGGTTAATCACCCAAAAGATCGCAGATAGATCATATCAGCTGTTAGCACTACTGACTTCCTTGAACCACATTCTTTTTTATTTTTACTCAATTTCACCATTTCTCAACAATTATCTTACATGCGCTTACTAAATCACCGCGTCGCAATTCTTTTAAAGAGTATTTTTTGGGTAGTGACGGAAGATCTAAACCTATTTTATTTAAAGGCTGTCACAAAAAAAAACCCGATGATGATGATGATGATGATATTAATTTATCCCTAATGGGAAAGGCAAAGAAAGGACTTTAGTCCATACAGCCAGGTCTTGTTCTTGGTAATAATTGGAGAATTTTGGTAGTTTTAAAGGCCGAAGCCACGTCTTCTCTTATTGTTGTCATGTTTTATTATTCTCGGTCATAAGGCCTAAGCCACTTCTTCGATGTAAAAGAAACCCGGTTGCCATTGACAGTTGTTGACATGTTAACAACCTGTCACAGGCCAGAAACGGGCAGAGGCGTAAATGTCCTTTGTCACGCAACCTCGGCCCTACGCGGTATCATATATTGATTAAACGTAATTACGTCCAAATGATAGAATTTGGTCAATTACACGAATTTTTAATAGTTAAAAATGAACAATAGCAACTACGAAACCTGCGGTAGTCGGCTTCATTATAATGACATTTAAATTGTGATGCGATAAAATAATGAGTTAACCTATTGCCTAACTATCTGCACATCGCATGAAGCTTTTGTAAGATAAAATAAACATCGATGCTGTGAGGCTAGACCAGTGGTTCCCAAACTTATTTTGTCTACTAACCACTTTGAGAGTAAATTATTTTTTAGCGCCCCCATTTTTTTCTACCTACTTAAAAACCACTATAGCGAGAGCTCAGTCGTGTCTAAGAGTCCTCCTGGATGAAATTAAAATCGCCTCCCAAGCCTCTACACAACGCCCCCATTTTTTTCTGGGTCTTTTACCGCCCCCCATTAGGTCTACAGCGCCCACAAGGGGGCGTTATCGCCCACTTTGGGAAAGACTGGGCTAGACCATGTTTCTTAATATAGACAGTGATTGATTACTGAAAGAATAAAACGATATTTAGTTGATTGCACAGGTCTCTAGAATTATTATGGATAGTGCAGTGAAGCTAAAAAGCAATGTTATTTCATTGCGCTTTGATGCTAAGAAATTGTAAGCTATATCCTTATCTTTGTTTCTTGTGGGCTGGCTATAGATAGAAGATAGAAGCCCGAAACTTCAAGCTTTAAAACCAGCTGGTATTAAATATGCATGCAGATATTATTATGTTAATTCAAGTAACCACGCCTAAGATGTCGTTTCACTGAATGTCTCGTGTTTCGAGTACACTGGACCACGGTGGACTCACTAGTCTCTCCATCTAAGTTCATCTTAAAGGGCCCTAGTGCTACTATGTAATGTAATACCCAGTAAAATGTTTGAGGTTACTTCTGCATACCTTTTGGTCTGTGTTCGTTCTTAAAAACTCTTGTTATATGAATTGATAATAATCATACTTGTAACATTAATAACAACAGCATTTTGTATTTTTTTATGAAAGTCACCTTCTTATTGTCATTGACAAAGACAACATTTCTTAAGCCCTCTCATTTCTTTAATTACTTATCTTGTTATCATAGAGATTAAAGTATGTCGGAAAATGTCATGAGATTCTTATAGTTAGATGTAGTTGAAGAGACGTATCTTGTGAAATTTGAAGCAAACAAAGGAGACTGAAACGATTACATACATTTTTGGGCCCGAATGTAACGTGATGAAACTAGTATGAATTAATAGATGCAGATTTATCAGTACCTTGCTGAAAATTCTAAAAGTTTTCTCAATCTGAGAGCAGAGACAAAAACTAACTTTCTCATTTTTCTCCGGTCCCAGTAAAAGGATTGAGGTGATTTTTTATATTCTTATATAAAAAAATATGACAAATTTTTTAGACTACATTCCAAGTTATTACATTTTTGGCCCACGATTTTCCGTCTCCTTTAAACATCAAAAGCGTTAGCATTGAGAATACGTGTCTATTCAAAACAAGAACTTTAATAACGGCCGTCTGGTGTAGTGGTAAGTGACATGGTCACTACACAAGGGGGTCGCGGGTTCGAATCCCGCCAAGGGAAGATATTTGTATGATAAATATAAATGTCTTTTCCAGGGTTATGGATGTATATTAAATATATGTATGTGTATAACAAAAATCTTACATTTATTTCCGTTATCTGGTACCTGTAACATAAGTTCTTTACGAACTTATCACGGGACCAGTTAACGTGGCGTGATTGTTAGTAGATATTATTTATTAAAAAAATAACGTATGCGTTACGAAATAATGAGAATGATCCACTAATATTTCGATATTTTGCGAGGCTCAATATAAAATATGTGCGAGGTAATTACGGCGCGCGGCATAAACTTAGAGGGTAGATACGAGTGCATAGCATTCGCCCGATCATAGAAGATGACTGCATAGGATCAAGCATTAATTCATTCTTGCACTTCAGTTCACAATACACTCAATTATTATAAAAATATTTTCTTAACCCAAACCGCGTCATGTGGTACGTGTTACGCACCCAACGTGCGCCCCACATGGCTCGAAATAATACAGATTAAGCATTAATATTTGTGGTCGATATATCTGTATCTTAATACGTGAAGCAAAAACGTTGTATCCCTTTTTATGAAAATTGCGCGGACGGAGGATTATAAAATTTCCCATACTTTTAGAGAATATAAAGAAGGAGTGCAGAATGTTTTTTTTTCTTCTTTTGGCAATAGCGTTTACTTTTTGCCAATGACGTAAATTAAAATATTGGGAAACTAAGTTAAAAAAGGACAAGAAACAAAAAAAAAAAAACAACATTACACACACCGCTATGTATTTGACACAACACATACAGATATATAATATATACTCTTTGTTTATTGTCAAACTTTTGTTATTGCTTAAAGTCTGTGTGCAAATTGAGAATAGATGAATATTGTTTGTCTTTAATATTATTTGTCTATAGTTTAGTCTTGGCGAAATCTGTGATTATAGAAGTATGATGGTCTTTGACAATAGCACCATAATAATAGACCTTATAATTTCAATTAATTATAGTCGAATTTCGACTACCGAGAGACCATTAGTTTAAAGTTATTTTACGAAATCTTATTCAACAGATGGATGGCACCGGTGAGTCTCGCCATTCACGCGCCAGGCGCGGACGTGACGCCGACCGTGAACAGCATCAGATACCTCCGCGACTGCCTTGGAAATGACCTCATTCGGCAATATGTCACTTTTCACATATTTTTCTCCAACAAGCACATTCCTAGTAAGGTAGGTACTATGCTGTTGTTCTACTGGTGGTAGGACCTTTTGTGAGTCCGCGCGGGTAGGTACCTCTGTCGTGAAGCAGTAATGCGTTTCGGTTTGAAGGGTGGGGCAGCTGTTGTAACCATACTTGAGACCTTAGAACTTATATCTCAAGGTGGGTGGCGCATTTACGTTGTAGATGTTTATGGGCTCCAGTAACCACTGAACACCAGGTGGGCTGTGAGCTCCTCCACCCATCTAAGCAATAAAATAAAATAAAACTTTCTAAGGGAGATTGCATATACAATTTATAATTATTCTACCAATATTTGTGTATTAATATAAAAAAGTTTTTTAGATCTTAGTTAGGCAAACGGTATTGCTTCAGTATTTTGACCTTACAGCCAAAACACTGAAGATACTAAAGGTCAAAATCTTAGCATTAGTCCAACAAACAACTTCTTAACCTTCAAAACGAAACGCAAAATTTCTTCGTTCTAATTATTCACACATCGGTGGCACCTTATATAGAAGAGTTACAAAACGGCCTACCAATTAACGCCAAATCGGCATTGAGATCACTACCCATCTAAAGCAATAAAAAAAATACAAACAGCATTTGTCCTAACAACATGCGCTTTAGTTTATAACGTGCACTTTCATGTAATAAAATTGATGCTAAATTTGTATATTTTTTTATGATAGTCATATCACCGGCTATTATTACCGTAAACCGTGTTATACGTAATAGCAAAATCATTCGCGATACCTAAATCGCACTAATTTCCTTTAAAATCTATTCACATTGACAATTCCAGATCCCAGACTCAGATAAAATTCTGAGTACACCGTATAACTGCACTGGGAGCCCCCCGTACGTGGTCAACTCATCGACCACATACATGAAACAGAAGAATTTGTTGTATCCAGTAAACGTAGCGAGGAATATCGCCAGAGACGCTGCCTTAACCTACTTCATTCTTCCGTCTGATATTGAGCTGTATCCTAGTCCTAATTTGGTGCCCAGATTCTTGAATATGATTGCGAGAAATCAAAAGCCTCTGAACTCGACGAATCCTCGAGTGTTCCCCATAAGCATCTTCGAAGTTGACGCCAAAGTTCAAGTAAGCTCACGTTTTAATACTGCGCCCGCGTGAATATAACGAAATAAAACAAATTCTCGAAATACCGTATCGGCTTAGCAACAAGTTTAGTGCTCAAGGAATTCATGCCGTTTTAGTATTCGCGATTTCGTGCAAAAACGTGTGAACTGCCACAAGCAACTTTAATGTTCTCGAAGAGAATGCACGACCTATACTGTTCTTGTGTATACCTGACTGAAATAAGAAATCAACTTTTTAGACCACTTAATCTTAAGTCTATCGATTGCCCGGCCGTACACCATAAAATGCTATGCCATCATTTATCCGTGGTATTAACATTGATATTGGTGCCGCTGAAAGATTTCTGTTACTTTGACACAATGGTCCATGACGGCGTTAAAACCGAGAATTCGTTGCTCAAAACCGCTATTTACTAAAATAAAAACTGTATATTTACAGGTGCCATCAACAAAAGTGGAACTCCAAAGTATGCTAGCAAAAAAGACTGCAATACCATTCCACAAATTCGTTTGTCCTAACTGCCACAACATACCTCAGGGCGTGCAGTGGATGACTGCGCCGGAAACGAATCGTAAGACTCTGCCTAAATTGATTCAAACATCAAAATACCTTGGAAAACATATCACTATCACTACATAGTATAAGATTAAAACAAAGTCGCTTTCTCTGTCCCTATATCCCTATGTATGCTTAAATCTTTAAAACTACGCAACGGATTTTGATGCGGTTTTTTTTAATAGATAAAGTGATTGAAGAGAAAGGTTTATATATATAACTAGCTGACCCGGCAGACTTCGTATTGCCTCAATCGATAAATAAAAGACCAACGGGGGGACACATGAAAGGAAAAACAAAATTGTTATTTTTATTCAATTCCGAGCATTTTCATATTTATCTACCTTTTAAACCTTCTCTGGACTTCCACCAATAATTCAAGACCAAAATTAGCCCAATCGGTTCAGCCGTTCTCGAGTTTTAGCGAAACTAACGAACAGCAATTCATTTTTATATATAGAGATAACATCCATTAAATAGTGGAGAAATCAATAATAAATTACAGTTTACGAAGCGAAGCGAGGGCGGATCGCTAGTTTAGTGTAATTCTCTGTTCTAAGTACTTTAATATACTATGACTTCAAATCGCAAGGCAGCATTCATAGAGCAAATTCGTTCGACAATGTAAACAAAAAAATATATATATAAAAAAACAGACACAAATTTGTTTAATCTGTAAAGAAACTATGGTGCAGTAACAATTAACGTCACTTCTGTTAGTGTCGTGCGCTATTTGTGTCGTCTGTAGCATGGGCATGGCCGTCGTATGGGGCATTCTAATTGCGTATTATGGTTCAACGACCGCGTCTTACCCGCACTACCCAGACGACGGCCGGCTTCAGATTCTAAGGCCAATTTGCAAAATCACAAAACTTTCCGCATAATCGCGAAATCAACTGTTACAAGCGCTACTTATTAACTCGCTCCGCGATTACCTGCATCTTGTTAGTCTAGAAACAAATAAAAATATATTTCCGCTTCCATTCACAACGAAACTATTTGCTCGTTCCAGAGATGGACGTGTTCCATGTCGGTAAGCGCCACGGAAAATACGTTCACTGGGAACCGATATTTATTGGTACCCACCAAGACCCGTATTACGACGAACGACTCAGCTGGGAAGGCAAAAAGGATAAAATGACGCAGGTAAAGACACTAATGATTTAAAATAACATAATAAGTGCAGCTAATGAATGCTTAAGCGCAGCGGAAACGAGCCTCGCCATAAATAAATTAAACGTGCCTGCCTCGCGAGCGTCGCAATCTCTCGTTTACCGTTTACACGGCAAACAACGTGTTCTCTTTATTTGAATATGCAATTTCGCAAAAGGGCACATCTCTGAAAATGTAAAATGTTCAGGAAATGAAAAAAAAAAACTGATTATTTTCTAAAGCAGTGTAAAATTTTAAATATTATATTTTGAGATATATATTTTATGTTAATTAGCAATTAAAAATTACTAGAATTATTATAAAACGGGTGTAGGTATGCCTCAAAACTACATGTATATGAAAAAACGTATTTGACAAAATATGCGACATGTGCCCTTTTCGAAATTGCGTATTCTTTTTTTTTTATTGCCTTTGTAGGCAGACGAGCATACAGCCCACCTGATGGTAAATGGTCACCGTCGCTCATTGACGTCAGCAATTCCAGGGGCAGAGCCAAGCCGCTGCCTACCATAAAGTACTCTCCGCAAGTCTCGTTTGAAGAAGGACATGTCATAGCGCTCGGAAAACACCGTGGAGGGGAGTTCATTCCAAAGCCGGATGGTGCGTGGCAAAAAAGATCTTTGGAAGCGCACTGTCGATAAACGCAGCGGTTCCAGATAATATGGATGAACTCTGCTCCGATGGCGGGAGGTACGATGATAAAAAGGAGATGAGGGGATCATCTCGAATAATTCCTCAGAGCATTCCCCATGGACCATACGGTATAAAACACAGAGAGAACCGAAGCCCCTCCGTAGATCCAGAGGTTTCAAGCGATCCACGAGAGCAGGACTATCGACCATCCGAACAGCGCGTTTCTGTATAGAGTCAAATGGAAGTACCTGGTATTCATTTGAATAATGATTATTTTTCTCCGCACAGGGCTACGTCCTTTGTGTTAAGGATTACGATTTTATGATATTGAACAACGCGTTCCTGATCCACAAGCCCGGCATCAAGCATTACGTGAAGAATCCCAAGAGGGACGTCATCGCTAGTCGCCAATCCAGTTTCGTTATGAACGTCATTATGCCCGAACTGAAAAAACTCTTCGGCACCAGAAGCGGTTGCGCGCTGTAAAACCTAATATTAAATTCCTTAACGCATTGACTGCCGTATAGGTCACCGGTGCCCTACGCACTGAAGTAATTATATCAATTTCGATCTTTTAACTAAGGCGCCGGAATATCTAATAGACTAAGGGAAAGACGAATCCGTAGATACTTAGTGTGAATATATTTCTAAAAGACCGAAAAAGACTAAAACATAGCAACTAACTCTTAACAATAACTCTTGTGAGTCCACACGGGTAGGTACCACCGCCCCGCCTATTTCTGCCGTGAAGCAGTAATGTGTTTCGGTTTGAAGGGCGGGGCAGCCGTTATGACTATACTGAGACCTTACAAATATATCTCAAGGTGTGTGGCGCATTTTACGTTGTAGATGTCTATGGGCTCCAGTGACCACTTAACACCAGGTGGGCTGTGAGCTCGTCTACACATCTAAGCAATAAAAAAAAGAGACAAAATTGGACAATTCAGACGCCTTAATAGAAGAACAGCTACATGGCAGTCAACGTGTTAAAATACTACCTTCCTCTTTGACGTTACGCCATTTTATTGTGTGATTGTGAATTATGCAACAGGGTGCGATCTTCCGCCTGTTTTTGTAAAACTTTACAGCTGGAATTTGCTACTCGTTAAACATATCATTATTTTTACGATTTTATATTCGAACCCCGTGTTCTCGACGTGATATTCCAGAAAATTCGCTTTTGATTAAACTCATTAAAATCGAAACGAACTTATTACGTCCTAAGCATAACTAACCTAAGTCATTATATATATTTTTTGTATATTTTGTGTCATATCACGTGTTATGTCAATCGTGTTATTGAAAAGAACGAAACGATGTCGGTATAATAAAGAAATATTCTCTGAATACGGAACTAATAGACAAGATTGTCAAATAAGCAATTTAAAACATACATTTTGTTATTATTATTCAATGCTAATGAACTGCAAATAAAATTAGTTTCCAAAAAAAAGAATAATGTATCGCTTCAATGAATTCGGTTATAAGAAGATAATTGAGTAGAGCACCTAAAAAAACCCAGTGTTTTATATTGTTTAAATTAGTTTTACATAAAAACCATAAGTATTTTAAATTCGGAACAAACGCGCGGCAAATGTCGTTTGAGTACTTCGATCAATATTGATCGAAGTTTGAGTATCAAATATTTCAATTGTTAGGTACACAATTTAGTTCACTTTAAGAATATGTACATCGTTAAAAAGTCATTTCAAACTTCAACCATTCAATAATAAAACAATACGCATTATAATATTTGAGTCATACATGTCGTCATTATTAGGAAAACGATAAGTTTAAGTACATATTTCCTTGATTAAAAAAAAAACAAAATCATAATTAAAACTTTTTTACGGCTTAATCTTTCATTTATTATCTTCGTAATATCATTGTCATTGGTATGCGTCCAAGAAAACTGTAAAGAATTAGAAGTGTTGAATATAATATAATGACTATAAAAAGGGGCAATTAAGCCGTAAAACTAGTTTTTATCATGTCTACGACTTGCAAAATCCCAAGTTAATACAATACAATCATAGCGTAAATGCATCGTGCCGTCCAACTTCGCAAGGACACACCGCATCAGTGACGCGGGATTAGCCAACTATATTTTTAATTTTGTAGCATTACCTTTCATAATCGGCTTTCTTGTTATCATTGACGCAAACGTATCTATCTCCGTTTGATTTAAATTCAGTCATCAATTTATTTATTATCTTGATAGTATTATTTAATGATTTTAATTAGAATTTTTATGTAATGTCTTTGTGAATATGTAGCTTGCCACGATCATATAGCTATATTGCTACTACTTATAATTTAGTATTTTTTGTGAGTGTATCAGATAAATGTTTGTCAATTATTTTAAGTTGTAATTACTCGCTAGATTTAATCATAATAATTAAGACTTATAAATTTACTGTTTCTTGTATAATGTTCCTATGTTCTTCAATTTATTTTTAAATACAACAATATAACAAATCATATCCGACAAATGTTCACATAAACAAAAGCGGTAAAAGTTTATAAATACAGTTTGGTCCAAATATTCGGTAGCGCTTCGATTTTAATTATAATATGTTACGCTGCATTTAGACATACTATTTAATGACCTATTTAAATGCGAAACAAGCTTAATTCATATTTACTATTTAAGTCAATAATGTATTTCCAAGTCATAGCCTAATAAATATAAGGAAAAAAGTTTTGGGCCTTATTGTGGATTTAGTAAGATTAACTAGCGCTTTATATATATATTGTGAAAGTGATTAAACTCACCACGTTCGAACACTAGTTTGTAGTAATTAAATATTATAGTTAGTTAAGTACTTTACTACTTCATTACTTATAGTTAATGCTAATAAAAACCTTTATAATGTATTTAATCTATTAAGTGTTACACTTGTCTAGCATTATACACTTATAATTGAGTTGTCTATTATCAAAAGTGGCAATCTGTGCATTTGGACAAAAAAATGTTATTGATATGTCAATACAGATTGCTTTGAATATAATCGTCTCCTTCAAAGAATACGGTTCAAAACCTGCATTAAATAAAGTATTAACTTAACCTGTTATTTATCTAAGATGTCGTTCAGAAGAGTTTTGTGACTGCCAATGGAATACAAAGTCAATAATTCGTTTTTCTGATTTACCAATAATTGTCCAAAAGTCACATTGCCGGCTTTGATAATAGTCGACTCAATTGTTTNATCGTCTCCTTCAAAGAATACGGTTCAAAACCTGCATTAAATAAAGTATTAACTTAACCTGTTATTTATCTAAGATGTCGTTCAGAAGAGTTTTGTGACTGCCAATGGAATACAAAGTCAATAATTCGTTTTTCTGATTTACCAATAATTGTCCAAAAGTCACATTGCCGGCTTTGATAATAGTCGACTCAATTGTTTGATTAAAATTTGTGTAATTTGAAGAGGCTATGTGTTTAATAAAACTGCAATGAACACAAACAATTTTTGCCAAACGAAATTAATTTTGGTTTATAACACAGAATTAAAGACATATCTTTATTAGCAGACTTTCGGATAGTTTTAGTAAGTTATTTAGTTTATTTTATAAAACAAATAAATGGGTTTGGGTGACGGTCAAACGCATGTGGTGAGTTTTCACGAAGGCTTAATATGTGCCTGTTAGTTTTTAAGTGCAATACCTAAACAGAAGAAACCTCTAAATGTGATTAACGAAATTGTATTTTATCGACGTGTACGATTTATTCTAGTTATTTAAAAATTTTATAATTGAAATAATAGAAAACGAAAGGACATGTAATCGTTCGAAATTAAAGGAGTCTCAGTATAAAAAGAAAATTGTTTTTATTTTTCACTTCGCATTCCTTTTTTTTTTATTGCTTAGGTTTGTGGACGAGCTCACAGCCCACCTGGTGTTAAGTGGTTACTGCAGCCCATAGACATCTACAACGTAAATGCGCCACACACCTTGAGATATAAGTTCTAAGGTCTCAGTATAGTTACAACGGCTGCTCCACCCTTCAAACCGAAACGCATTACTGCTTCACGGCAGAAAATAGGCGGGGCGGTGGTACCTACCCGTGCGGACTCACAAGAGGTCCTACCACCAGTAATTACGCAAATTATAATTTGGCGGGTTTGATTTTAATTACACGATGTTATTTCTTCACCGTGGAAGTCAATCGTGAACATTTGTTAAGTACGTATTTCATTAGAAAAATTGGTACCCGCCTGCGGGATTCCTTTAGGTCTTATCCTTTAGGCCACGACGACTTCAAAATTCGACGATAATAGTCCAAAAAAAAAGGTTCACTTAATACTAGACTATAATGAAACTCGGAGCACGCAAATTAAAATCGAGACGGCGCTCAGAGAATTCCCCTCAATTTTGGAGGATCCAGATCTCTTCACACCGATTCCCGGTCCCGGGGGGTAATGACTGTCGGGAGGTCTGCTGGAATCTCTAAAACGAATGAATTCATCATATGTTTCTATACGACTTCGAGGCTGCGTTCCATTATCGGTTTTGTTTTCTACTTCTTCAACAGATTCTGTGGTATTTGGTTTACCAATATCATCACTTTCGTTACTAGTACCTTTATTATTGACGTTCTCTTTATTTTCTTCAGAATTCTCACCGTTTCTTGGCCTGTCTTCGTCTTTTGAATATAACGTAGTATTTCTACCAGTAAATCTAACACCAGTCATGAAGTTTGTATCAAATCTTGTATTAACAAAAATTATATTCAACAATCGACTCGAAATTGGACATCGTGCGGATAATATCAAAATGAATAATGTGCATAGGAGCGTACCATTCATTTTATTGCAATAATAAAAGATATTCTTTTTGTCTATATTTGACAATTGATACAATAAGCTCTTCTGACATGAAACACAGATAATCATAGATAATAACGCCATATATTAAATAAGAAGAAATTAAGAAAAAAAGACCCACGCCTGTTTTACCTGTTTGTACAAAATTGTTCTTTTTTTTTTAAATGTATTAATTCGACCTCTTAGCATTTCGAGTATTATTTTGTCTTTCTTTAGCTTGAGTTTTTGCTTAATGTAATAGGGGTTCAAGTATGAAATTGCCGTTCTATTGTAATAGATGCTTCAAATTGACATAGAACCTTAATGATTTGAGATTTTTAGTGAAACTTTTTTTAAATGGTACAAATGAGGTTCTTCTTTAAAAAAATGTGTAACATTAACGACTTTCAGTTGTTTTCTTTTATTCAGCTTCGACAAGAAAGAGGGATATCAATGTTGCGTTTGGAGAGGGGACTGTCTGCGCCATTTTGAGAAGGCGGCACGACATGAGAACCCTCTCATCGTAGCCGCTGGAAATTACATACCCGACCCAGTAGACCGAATGGTAAACCGTCGACGTCGCCCAAAGCACGTCATTACGGATCCTCCCGATCCATTAACGGTGCTTTTAGGCACCACAAGCACCGGTCACCGTCCTCGTCGAACCCGTCGCTTGCGACGAAGGGCTCGACGAGCGAACTAACCCATAGACACAGCCCACTGAGTTTCTCGCCGGATCTTCTCAGTGGGTCGCGTTTCCGATCCGGTGGTAGATTCTGCGAAGCACTGCTCTTGCTAGGGTCAGTGTTAGCAACTCTCCGGTTGAGCCCCGCGAGCTCACCTACTAACGTTAGGGNAAAAAAAAAAAAAAAAAAAAAAAAAAAAAAAAAAAAAAAAAAAAAGAGGGGACTGCTAATGAACGCACCGTGCGATTTTGATGTAAACACTTTCGTGATGGTAATTTTGATTTGAAGAACGAACCACGTGGAAGACCGCCCACACATGTGAATAACAATGAATTGAAAGAGACGGCGGAAGTCGATCCGAGCCTACCCGGGAATTAGCGGCATGGTTTAACGTTACCTTACCAACAATATTAACCCATTTGCGTCAAATCAATAAAATACAAAAATATGAAAAATGGGTGCCTCATGATTTGACTGATCTGCAGAAAGAACCGCGTGTTGAAACTTGCATTGCCTTGTTCAAGCGATACAGAACTGAAGGATTATTGGATCGAATTGTGACATGTGATGAAAAGTGGATTCTTTACGATAACCGTAAATAACTGTTTGGTGGTCTCAGCATGGTGTCATTCACTATAGCTTTCTACGATCTGGTCAAGCAATAACGGCAGATGTCTATTGTGCCGAACTCCGAACAGCGAATCCGAATACGTACTTAAGAAATATTCACGATTGACTTCCACGGTGAAGGAATAACACAATACACGTCGTGTAATATAAATCAAAACGCGCAAATTATAATTTGTGTAATTACTGGTGGTAGGACCTCTTGTGAGTTCGCACGGGTAGATACCACCACCCCGCCTATTTCTGCCGTGAAGCAGTAATACGTTTCGGTTTGAAGGGTGGGGCAGCCGTTGTAACTATACTGAGACCTTAGAACTTATATCTCAAGTTGGGTGGCGCATTTACGTTGTAGATCTCTATGGGCTCCAGTAACCACTTAACACCAGGTGGGCTGTGAGTTCGTCCACCTATCAAAGCAATAAAAAAAAAACAGTGATAGTAAAACTTGAAGAAACAGCCCTGACTCATGAATCGATCTTCACCATTATTGCTCCATGATAACGCGAGACCTCATACCGCACGAGAAACCGTTTTAACTCTACAGGAATTGCAATTAGAAACCATTCGTCATCCTCCGTATTTACCAGACCTTGCTCCAACGGACTACCATTTTTTTTTGGGATATGGACAATTTTCTATGTGATAAAATGTTTTCTTCCCAGGAGGCAGTACAAAATGCTTTCACACGGTTTATAGAATCCATTCTATCGCAAAGGCATAAATGGCCTTCTTATTAGATGGCAATGTATAGATAATAATGGTAGATATTTTGATTATATAAATATGTTAAATGAATAAGAAAATGAATTTAAAATGTTTAGTACAAATCGGCAATTTCATACTTTAACCCCTAATATATTACCTAACAAAAAAAACATAGGTAATTATTCCATAGGAGCTGATATTAAAAGCATTTACATTGTAGAAATTTACATAGGAAAAACATAGCTCATCATGAATGACCACGCGAACCATTTTGCGATAACAACTTGTTCAATATTTATCAAGTTACTAAAAATAGCCCTGGTGGAGGTCTTGTGAGTCCATACGAGTAAGTACCACCACCCCAAATTATTCAGCCGTGAAGTAGAAATGGGTTTCGGTTTGTGAAAAGTGGGGCAGCCGTTATACTATAAAAACGAAGACATTACAACTCATGTCTCAAAGTGGGTGGCGGCATTGACGTTGTTGATGGCTATGGGCTCCGGTAACCACTTAACAACAGGTGAGCCGTGAGCTTTTCATTGCGCAATAAAAAAATACACGTCCGCTTAAATCAGAGCTAGTAATTCTACATCTGCAATATTCCAAATTATATTAAAATACCAGACGGTAGCAGACATGAATACAAACATATGGCGGGCGAGATGATAAGGAAGTCGATCTAACTATGCTAGACCAGTACGTGACGTGCATTAGATATTCAACTACGGTTCTCCGAGACATATATGTATAGGATATGGAATACGAAATAGCAAAATAATTTAATTGTGAGTGAAATTGTTTAGAACCGTGAAATTTTTAAGCCCTGGACATTTGATTTCCGTTTTAAAAAGTCAAAAACCTGTAATTTCAATATTTTAAATACGGTAACCCCTTTTCAAAAATTCTCTTTATTTAAATATCCATAAGGAAATATAGAACATAAAGCACATTCTTGCCCAAATATTTCTAAAGATTTCAGCTAGAACAACAATCAGATGGGTTCAGTCATTGTATTATTGATTATTAGCGTGCACAAACACTTCAATAACGGGCAGATACTCTTGGAATTATATAGAGATAGAATAATCAATACTAGTGGTCCCGCAGTAGTCGAAATTCGACTATAATTAATTGAAATTATAAGTTTCAACATTATTATGGTCCTATTGTTACAGATTTCGCCATGACTACACTATAGACAAATACTCGTAATATTAAAGATAAACAATACTAACCTATTCTCAATTTGACTACAGACTTTAAGCAGTAACGAAAGTTTGACAATAAACAAAGAGTACACGTGTGTGTGTCAAATACATGGTAGTGTGTGTAATGTTTTCTTTATTGATTTAATGTATCTTTTATGCATTATTTAAAAAAAATATTAGCATTGTGCACTTCTTCTATATATTCTCTATAAGTGTGGAAAATTTCATACTCCTCCGTCCGCGCAATTTTCGTAATAAGGGATACAAAGTTTTTGCTTCACGTTTTAATATATAGATGATATAACTAATGCAAATAGAAATAAACGAAAGGTAAACGGTAACAAAATTAAAAAGATGTCCCTGACTTATTTTTTATTATTATTCGTCATCATAAATTATCATGATGTATCATTAAAAAATACTTCATTAATTCGTCCAAAACTATGAGAGAAAATTACATAATTAACATACATACTATATATTCGGTATCTACAATCCTTGACATTTCAGACATCCCAGAGGCCTTCCTATTATGAATTCAAAAACATTTTACTATTTTATTAACGCATCCTAGCGTATTTTATGATTTATTATATACTTACATATATATTTTTAGGAAAAACAAATGGAAATTATTTGACTTTTGACTATAATGTTGACTGACTTTGTTTGATGAGATCAATTTCAAAACTTGTTTTAAATAGGAAATCACTAACGTAACTGGAAATCATAAAATCAAGCAATAACATTTTCGAACAAAAATTCACTGCTCAAAGCGAAATACGGCCATTGAACGAACAATATTACCGCTCCGAGTATAGAATGTATTGTTTTTCGGGGTGAAGGGGTGCAAGGAGGCATTTCCACTTTCACCATAACGAATAGGGGAACTCAAAGACTTAACCAGGAAGGAGGGTATTTGCTGACAAGTGCCCGAGCGCATTCAAAGGAGTCCTAACAACTTGAGAACAAGCTCCTTTGCGAATACATCTACAAAGGGGTTTGAGCCGCGAAACAATGATTATAGTCCGGCGAGAAGTTAAGAGGGCTGATTCTATGTGCCAAGGTTCATTTCGAGCTCTTCAACGAGCTCGATCAGTACCGACTTTGGCTGTTAGTAGCGTTAAAACTAGCACTGATACGAGATTAATTAGATTACTGGTGGTAGGACCTATTGTGAGTCCGCGCGGGTAGGTACCACCACCCTGCCTATTTCTGCCGTGAAGTAGTAATGCGTTTCGGTTTGAAGGGTGGGGCAGCTGTTTTAACTATACTGAGACCTTAGAACTTATATCTCAAGGTGGGTGGCGCATTTACGTTGTAGATGTCTATGGACTCCAGTAACCACTTAACACCAGCGGGGCTGTGAGCTCCTCCAACAATTTAAGAAAAAAAAAAGATCCATCAAAACTTGTCTAGGAAATCCATGGAATCTAACTGCTGCAGCAGGCGGGCCAGAAATGTAGTTAACTGCCGCCACAATAACAATGTTATCGTGCCGCGTCGCTGTCGCGATTGGAATTCTGCCGCTGCCTTCATATACTTACACAGGGGTTCTAAATCTAAATCGTCGTGAAGTGCCACTACGACTAATCTAAAGAGGCGGGATAATTTGTTGGGTGTTTATGTGAGTGCGGGCCGCATTAGCGAACCCCACACGCGCATAAATCACGTCATGGTATAGCAAAGGGACATTTTGCTCCGGGGGCAGATCATTGGATAGAGGGCGCAGATAATGAAGGCGGCGTGGTCGCGGACTAAGTAACTTCATGCGAGTTTGAATACAGGGAGGGTGCGTGGACGTCTTTATACTGGGTCATAATCGTTTATTTCACTCTTCCGTTATATTGTGGAGAAATAGTAATTTAATACATTGTATTGATTGCTACTGAAACGATATGTTCATTTGATTAGAATCAAAAATATCCCACGTAAGCGATTTCACACCAGTACAAAAGGTCAGAACGTGGGCAGAATTGGAATTCAGAGCGGAATTGTCTGTTTGCCCTGATGTTTTGCGAATTACTTTATTTAAATGTAGTAAATAACTGAAATAATTTTATTTTTTACAATGAACCTTGTTCCACCTAATCCGAACGATGACGGAGCTGCCACTCAGTCAGCACACACGTTTTCATATGAATATGTGCATACATATAAGTACATATATCTGAAAACTCACAAATATTTATTAAGCAGATTTTTTGCATAAATTTAGTCAAATATATTCATTATGTATCTATGGCAAATAATTATATATGAGTATGATATTGGATTAGTGGCAATACATTTCAATGATCACGTATGTTGGTACGGCGGGTGACGCGTCATTGTTTTTTCAACCCACGTTTCGTTACTCGAACATATTATGTTGTATCCGTCGACATTTAATCCGGCCAATTGAAGCCTACATCAAACTTCGCTTTCATGTCTCAATGTGCCCATATTCGAAACGAACCCGCTTCTGACCGCCGGCCATCGTTCTCGTCGAACCTGTCGCATGCGAAAAAGGGCTCGACGAGTAAATTAACCCTCAGACACAGCCCACTGAGTTTCTCCCCGGATATTCTCAGTGGGCCGCGTTTCCGATCCGGTGGTACATTCTGCGAAGCACGGCTCTTGCTAGGGTTCGTGTTAGCAACGTCGTCAGGTTTGAGCCCCGTGAGCTCACCTACTAGTTAAGGTTACGCTGAAATAGCCTCTCAAGGCTCTCAGCTTGGTAGGATAAAAAAAAAGAACTTCTGACCGTCCGTAAGTTAAGGTAGTGCACATCTTTAGACGATTCGCCTCACTGAAACACGTTCGTTTCACTCATGCACGCTTCTTAATCAAATCTACAAGAAATGCGAGACTTTTCTCTGTGCAATTATCTTATCTTTAAATGAGGCTTAGAAGACTTGTGCTATAAATTCTGCGACATTCGTCAGAGATCGCCGATTTATTCTGCAAAAAATCTGCCTCGCCTAAAATTTCAAATCTATCTTATCAGACATTTGCTTCAATGGTTCGGCATCGAAAATATCAGTTCTCTTTAGTAGTGGTAGGGCGTCATGTGAACTTACAAGGGTAGGTCCACCAACCTGCTTATTTCTGGCAATAAGCAGTAATGAGTTTCGGTTTAAAGGGTGAGACAACCGTTGTTACTGTAAAAACTGAGACGTAGAACTCATACCTTAAGATAGGTGGCGGTCGTTACTTTGTTGATGTCTATGGGCTCCGGTAACACTTGAGTTGTGGGCTCATCTACCCATCTAAGCAAAAATTTTCACACTTTCCACTAAGCACTTCACCCAGTAATTAAAATCAAACGAATTAACTTTAATTGTGCCCTGATTTGATGAAATTGATCTCTTCTAAAGCATCCAATAATTGCGTAATATGTTACAAATTTAACATGGATTATGCTAGCCCTTTCTAAAAAAATTCCAAGAAAATTCTGAAGCGCGATGCTTTGCAATGTACAGAACTCTGATGTAAGACGAGGTGCGGCCTGAGATGAGTCCGGGTGTCGCAACCCGGTCTTCACCAAGGTCGCTTCTCCCCATCTCTTAAGTAGTGTCATTCATTGTCCGTGCGAAGATCGTTCGAACGTGTCAGTACACCTGTTGTCCAGACATGGAGAGGACTTTTGTGATCTTGACGTGCTTTTGCGCCTTTGGTGAGTTACAAATATTTAAATAGTAGACAACGGAATCTTTAACGTTTTCTTCTGTTTTCATTGTGCCATTTAATAATTGTTGTTTGAAAACAGCAAATCGATCTTTGATATAAAAACTTTTTTGTACGAATCCAATTTAAAAAAAAAAGTATTTCAAATTAGATATAGCTACACCTGGCTTCCCGCGGCTTCTAAAAGAGAGCTAGCTACACCTGGAAAGAGTGGACGTAAATAGTCAACGTGTTAATTAATATTTTTCATAAATTTACACTAAATCAGAAATAAAAAGATGTATGATAAAAACAATTATTGTCTAAATAAAATAAATTAACTGTGGCTTATTAGCTGTGGTACAATTTATGATGTAATAAACATTTTAATGAATCTCTATTCCAATACAAAACACTTAAGTTTTTCAATGGACTATGTACTTGTACTTAAGTTTTTCAAGGAACTATGTATTTTATAAATTCACGCTCGACCTGTTACAAACAATGAAAACAATAGTAAAACAATTAAACAATAGCATGTAAAAATTCAAATAAATTAACGAATATATTAGTTCAGTCACGGATGAGACTTGAGAGAAAAAAAAACTTCTAGGTCATACCGAATCTCGTTTCTTGGAATTCATTATTTGATTTTGTGCGAGTTCTCTGTCTTTTAACTAAGATTAGCTTTACTACAAACATTACTGATATCTGCATTAGAAATTTTAGAAGAAAATTTTAGAAGAAAGAAGAATTTCCTTTTTTTTTTTAAATCTTTGACCGTACATATTTTGTAAAGATTTCCTTTTTCTTCTAATGTGGCTTTGGCCAAAATAGGTGGTCTTTTCGGATAGTTGGATAATCAAAAACAGCCAGCAAAAACAAAAACTAGCGCTCTGGGTATTTTATTCTTATTTCGTGTATATTCAGTGCACATAAGAAAGAAGCCTAGTTTAGATCCGTTGAATATAGAAAAGTAATAAAAACCTACTTTTCATAAAAATTTGACTAATACCTAATAACAAACATGTTTACAAAAACTCAATATCTTGAAAGTGTAATTTATTTGTAGCTTAAGCAACAGTTCATATGTTTATAGAAGAATGAAGACATTTAAATGCACTTACATACGGTCGTATGTCTAAATTTGTATTGAAAAACATAGAAAATAATATTCCTCAATGTGCTTATGACGTACATTTAAAAAACAAAATAAAACATTCTTTAGTCGTTCGCATTTGACCTCCAATATTAAAGGACATCAGAAATGAACATAAAAAAATACTATGCTTATTTAAAATTCCAATAAGCGTGATATCCTTAAAATATTTGCGTTGCTTATTTTATTAGAGGTGCTAAAGGAAAATAGATTTTAAAACACAATATTGATGCTTAATTTTTCAACTTTATTACCTCGTTCATTCTTTATTGATTTTCAACAAAACTACATTGTGGTACTAGAGCTTGTGTGTAATAAAAATAAATAAGTGGTCGAGCAAATCGGACAGTATACAGAAAAAAATCCAGAGCAAAAGTACGATATCTCTACCGAGCTATTGATTAGATTCAATAAGCTTTGTCTTATTGCCTACATGGGTGATTGATCTCTCTCCGGCCGATCTGGCGTTAAATGGTTACCGCAGCCCATGCAAGTCTATCCCGGAACACCAGCAGCCTGGTAGGGCCGCTGTACCGCGGAGACCGGCGTCGTTGGTCGTCGATTATCGCCTCGATGACCCGTCGGTCGGGCGTCCTCGGGGCGGTACCCCGTGTCTGATTGTGGTGTTGACCTCGGGAACCCCCTTACTCTGACCGGGTTCTGACTCCGGGCGGAGATCGGCCGTCGGGTGTAAGAGTGCAGGAGAGTCGTCTAGTGCGGTAGAGCCCAAAAACTCCTTGGACTCGCGGTCTGCTCCCAACATCAGCAGATCATCAAGTCCCACATACCGCCCCCTAGGCGCGGGGACCTGGCGAAGTTTCGGTCCCTAGCCCGAAAAAAAACCGCCCATGAGAGATAATGTCGATACCTATGATAACGACTGTCCCAGCTTTGAAATCAGAACTCATGAATTTTTCGCGACAGAAATAGGCACCGTGTTGGTACATACCGGCTTGCAATACTATCAGTAAGTAAAACGTTTACATGTAGTGAAGTTTAAGGCTATTTAAAAAATAGTAGTAGGCAGCGGCTTGGCTGTGCCTTTGGCATTACTGACGTGCATTAGCGATTGGAACCACTCACCCTTAAATGAACTGTAAACTCGTCTACCTACACTGGGAATAAAGGAATGGATACTGTACGACAGCTTTATTGAGCATACTAACGTGCTCTATCTACAGAATGTTGGTCTGAAAATAATTTAAGCCCTAAAGAATAAACTTCGTCACTCTTCAAAATCTTCTAAAAAGTATTTCACAGTAATGGTTTGTGATAACTCACAAAACCTCATATTAAATTTGATAATGTGATATTATGTAAACTTATTGCGTATAATTCAAATGCCAACATCAAGTATTGAGTTTAAGAGCCAATTTGAGCTGTTATGCAAAACTGCACATGATGACATGTATCACTCGAGACTTCTATATTAATTTGGTCAATACATTTACTATATGATTTCGTTTGTCATGAGTTTTGTAACTCAAATAAAATAAACGACTGGAATAAATACTATTTAACACAAGAACATTCCTCTGTCTATAATTCTGGCACGGCTTTAACAACTTCTGGCACAACCTCATCTTTTCGTCGTCTGCCATTGATATCGTAAAAGGTAACTAAGGGTTTCACAGAAGAATTTTCAATATCATTCTTTGAGTAATCTACCACCAATTTATAATATCCCGATGCTCACTACTGGCAGGACATTTTGTGAGTTGGGAGTACCGCATCCAGCCAATTACTGTTTGATTGTTTACAGCCATAATACAATGAGACTTAATTTTCGATTTAATGTTACAAGAACCATTTCATACCAAGTACATCTTGAGATTCTATAATTTAGTAACTCAAACAATTTGTTACAGTTTACACACAAACACAGTATCAGCCTTTTGGACAGACAAATCGCTTCCAAAATCAGTACCAGGAACAAGCACCAGTCAGGCCTACTGGACAATGCAGGGAACTGAACGAAAGGTATCCAGTGTCCGGAAGCTGCGACAGATATATTGAATGCATCGTAAGTATTATCGATATTGTATTCAGTTACAATTATTATAGATGTTACTTCAAATTAAACACGATTTAAATAGGTCAGATTAAGGATTCGAAACAAAAGATAATTATAATTGAGACATCGATGAAACTCAACAGCTGAGAAATATTGCAATTGAATATGCAATTTCGAAAAGGGCACATCTCTGGAAATGTAAAATGTTCAGGAAATGAAAAAAACTGATTATTTTCTAAAGCATGGCAAAATTTAAAATATTAACTTTTTATAGATATATTTTACTGTTAATTAGCAATCGAAAATTCTGGAATTATTATAAAATGGGTGTAGGTAAGCCTCAAAACTACATGTATATGAAAAAACGTATTTGACAAAATATGCGACATGTGCTTTTCGAAATTGCATATTCAATTAATCATGACTAACAAGAAACCATGTACATTTATTAGATTTTCCAAATAGGCACAGATGGATTAACAGTATAAATGGGCAGATATAATGTTAAATATTAACGGGAACTCAGAGATATCGTGATTTCCTCATTAAAATCCAATCGAAGCCACTCATACATTGGATTAACAACTGTAATTCCCATCAAGTGAAAAGCACAATTTATTTAAGGCAAAAATAAACAGGTTATCAATACCGCTAGCTCCCGAAAATGATCAAACTTGGAAAAGAAGTTGAAGAGACCATGTGGTCGCTTTTTATATTAGTTTAGTCTAACAGACTGTTACCAATAAAGGTCCAACGGCTTCAAAGGACCATGCGCGTGATATTGAAACATGACCTATTTTGCACACAGAATGGAACCGCTGAAGAGAAACTATGCCCCGATGGTCTCCGTTACAATCCCAACGTGAATTTCGATGTATATCCGTGCCAGTACCCTAACGAAGTGCCGTGTCTCGAACGATCCTCGCTACGTGAGTAAAATAACCGATACTTTAAAGCGCACATATCAGAGATCAACCCTGATATGGTATTTTTCCCTTTGCCCAAAGCCGCAAAGATTTGTCATCGCTGATTTTAAACTTTGTTATTTTAGTACCGGTTTTACACATTGCGATACAGGTCTTGAATACGTAACGTACTGATGACACATATACCAGTGATGAATAGTTCTGAACAGAGCATTCGCTTCTTAATCGACTCATTAGGTACCTACTAAAGCGTGTGAGTATTTCAAAGAGCTCGATAACTTTCGATGGCGATGATGCCATTAAATGTAACGATCCGAATTGTACTGTATATTGTATACCTATGGCTATAATCAGACATCCATTCTACCTTTTTTGCGCTTCAGGATAATTTGAAGGTACAGGTATGCATAATCAAGGCCACCTAAAGGTACCTCTTTGCCGTCATAATAGTAGCTTATTTAAATGCATACTAATAAAATGACCCTATTTCCTATGTAAGTATTGTCTCTATTGTCATCTCTATTATTGGTAATACGATGGTGAAATTGAAATTAAAAAACCCCTATGAAGGTATATTTGATTAGAAAATATTTCTCCACATTGATTTTAGTATTATGATATTTAACAACCGTTTATAATCAGATTGAGAGTAGTATTGTCGAAAAGATATTTGAGAAACCGATTAGGTGGAATATCTGGAAGCAGTAAAGTAGTAGTAGTACCTATAATACTCTTTTAACATATTTTCAACATATTCCAGAGCCACCGCAACCGACAGAATTGTGTCCCCATCAATTCGGATACTTCAAATTAGGCGACGCCCGCAATTGCAGCGGATTCAGAAACTGCGTGAACGGTGTAGGCTACGATTTTGTATGTCCCGACGGACTGGCTTTCAATTCTGAGACCTACCGCTGCGAATGGCCTGATGAAGTCGCCGACTGCGATGCTGAAGGTAAGTTCCATTAGATTATTTAAAACTAACAACTTTAAAACTAACATTGTAACTAAAACATGAGATCTTAGAACTTATATCTCAAGGTGGGTGGCGCATTTACGTTGTAGATGTCTATGGGCTCCAGTAACCACCTAACACCAGGTGGGCTGTGAGCTCGTCCACTCATCTAAGCAATAAAAAAAAAAGATTAAAATGAAAGCATTAAATAAAAATAAAATGTTATCATTAAAAAAAAAATTTTTTTCAGCTTTCCTCGGATTCCGTTGCCCCGAAGTACCAATAAGTAGAGAACTTGGTCCCCCAGCCGGATATAGATACTACAGGTATGTTACAAAAGCATATGTAGCGATTTTTAAAGCAGATATATAAATCTTCGCTCATTAAGCGATAGTGTTATAGACGCCGAGAACAGGTTACCTAATGCCGACCGGTCAGCCGATGTCGTCGGGCGGTTAAATGTCAGAAGATGAGCGGTGACCTTGCTTATATAACCTCGTTATTAGAAATACCAGCAGAGGTTTGCTAACGCATTGTATGTACCAAAGTTACGTGCGCGTGCCAATTTGTTGTTCACAAATTTGTTCTAACAGGCCACTAATGAATGCGTTCGCAATATCTACATTGCTATTGTCGAGTGATAAATTTATGTAATATTTACAGTTTTTTTTTATTGCTTAGATGGATGGACGAGTTCACAGTCCACCTGGTGTTAAGTGGTTACTGGAGCCCATAGACGTCTACAACGTAAATGCGCCACCCACCTCGAGATATAAGTTCTAAGGTCTCGATATAGTTACAACGGCTACCCCACCCTTCGAACCGAAACGCATTACTGCTTCACGGCGGAAATAGGCGGGGCGGTGGTACCTACCCGTGCGGACTCCCAAGAGGTCCACCACCAGTGATTACGCAAATTATAATTTTGCGGATTTGATTTTTATTACACGAAGTTATTCCTTCACCGTGGAAATCAACCGTGAACATTTGTTGAGTACGTATTTCATTAGAAAAATTTGTACCCGCCTGCGGGATTCGAACACGGGTGCATCGCTACACACGAATGCACCGGACGACTTATCCTTTAGGCCACGACGACTTCAAGTATTCGATAAGTATACGCATATGATTGGATAGTAAATAAATTGATAGGTAGATAGTATGTATTTTGCATTTACATAAGCCGTTTTCCTCATATTTAAGTTTCAATTTTATCTTAGCAAAAACATTGAATACTTCCACTGGATTGACGGTTTGATTGTTTATAAATTTTAACAGTACATTTGGACACGGAATCTTTGTTTTAATTTAATGTAGCCAGACGTGTTTTACAAATAAAGTCTTCTGCGAAAATTTTCATTACATTCGACGAATTTGTTTTTATAGCTTATTATAATATTATATTGATTTGATGTACGTTAATAGGTTGTTATGATATTGTAATATGTTTTTCTATCAATCAATTTTATACACATTAGCACCTAGCGGAACAGATCCTATGTCCTATGTCTCTCTCGCTGATGCGGACCGATTATTTCAGATGTTTGTAAGATTTCGATACCGACAACTGTATACTATAAATTGTATACAGTATGTTGTTGCAAATTAAAGAATTTCAATCTACCTTGTGTTGGTAGGTCAAGAAAGACCTGCCACGCACTGGTGGAAATATCTTTGGCCTATTTCGACCCGCCGCCGCACCAGATGAAGATTCATGATTTTACTTGCCACAGCTAAGATGTTAACTTGAAATAAGCTAAGCTAAGCAATTCACTTTTCTTCCCGCGAAGGGAAGGGGGGGCTAACGTCGTCCTCTGACACGGATGCCCCACCGGAGAAAGTGGTGGTAGTCTCCGATTCGGCCTCTGCCGCGGAGGAGATGCCGCCCCCTAAAGGGAGACCCGCTCGGGGGAAGGGCGCACCGTCACCGGCGCCGTCATCGGCGTCGATGTCTGTCGCCTCGCTGGACGGGCGGACGACAGAAGAGGAGGAGGGCGNCGCCGGGTGTCAGAGCTTAGAATTGGGTATGAGAGGGAAAGAAGATGAAAATAAAACCAAATAAAACAAAATAAAACCACAGGCGAAGAAGAATAGAAAAGCGTGTAAAATAAAACAATGAACGGAAACAAAAGAAGAGAAAGAGACAGGGTAAAACTTAAGATCAATAAAAATAACCAAGGGACAGTAAAAACAAAACAATAAAGTAACAAAGAAAGTGGAAAAAAAAAAAAAAAAAAAAAAAAGCTAAGCAATTCACTGGTGGTAGGAACTCTTGTGAGTCCGCACGGGTAGATACCATCACCCTGCCTATTTCTGCCGTGAAGTAGTAATGCGTTTCGGTGTGAAGGGTGGGGTAGCCGTTGTAACTATAGTGAGACATTAGAACTTATATCTCAAGGTGTGTGACGCATTTACGTTGTAGATGTCTATGGGCTCCAGTAACCACTTAATGCTAGGTTGACTGTGAGCTCGTCCACTCATCTAAGCAATAAAAAAAAACTTGAAATAAGCTATTAAAACATTATTTTTTATAGGTCTGACAACAATTGCCAGAAGTATTTCCTGTGCATCGATGGGCATCCTCGCGTCCTCTATTGCGGTGGTGAGTCCGCATTCGACGATCTAACCTCAACATGTGTCTCCGCCGATGAAGTAGGAGCATGTCCTGCTGAGCTAAGGGCCGCAGCAGTCCGTGCCAAGGACGACGCAAAGCAACTGCTCGCCAAAGAAGTCGAATTCAATGCGTATCAGCTAACACGAAAACCGTCATTAAGCTATAGAAATTAAGTCTTGCACTTGGCACATTAAAATGGTTGGAAATAAGACTATTTCTAAAACACATTTTGTCTAGTCTAATTATTAAGTTACCTATTTTTACAATGTTTTTTTTAATAAATAACTTCCTGTTTCAATATAATCAAATCTAGAAGCATTATTCTAAATGATAATGGAATTGTTTATCCAAGTTCATTAAACAATTTGTTATTAATTATGTCATACAAAGCAATGTAATAAATAACATTAATAAAATACGTTTTGTAGTTAAATTGTCTTTTTTATTTTATCGATAATTAAAAACTGCTATACTTTGCTCTATGCCTTTTTAAAATTAGCGTTGAAATGGTTCAAGTAATTAGGTTCATGCATAGATATAAATAAAATTATCCTGGAAAAATAGGCGCGAATAGTTTTCAGGTGTGATGCACATAAAAAATCCTCAAAGCGCTGCAAAAATGCAGTAACATCTTTAAATTGAATGCCTAGTGGACATGCCTTACGTACCTACTGGATGCACTAGTAGGTGGAATATCTAGCAAATTTATTAACAAACGATTTCAAGCTGAGTTGGTTTAGAGTCATCTTGCAAATCTGCAAGCAAGAAAGTTGCATTATACTAATCTTCTAATGATTAGAATCAAATCTATAAATTCTTAATAATAATACGGAGGCGCGTCAATTTTGTCCGTTATATCTCAATGACGCTAGATGACGCTTTTTAGTTTCCATGTCGTTTGAGTCCCAGCATAGTTATGGAACAAATCGTATTTACTTATAATCAACGCCATCTGTTTTGAATAAGGTATTACTAATTTCCGGTTGTAATATTTAGACGGCCGTCTGGTGTAGCGGTAAGTGACATGGTCACTACACAAGGGGGTCGCGGGTTCGAATCCCGCCAAGGGAAGATATTTGTATGATAAATATAGATGTCTTTTCCAGGGTTATGGATGTCTATTGAATATATGTATGTGTATAATAAAAATCTTAAATTTATTTCCGTTATCTGGTACCTGTAACAAAAGTTCTTTACGAACTTATCACGGGACCAGTTAACGTGGCGTGACAGTTAGTAAAAAAAAAAAATAAAAAAAAAAATTGAAGTCACTCAATGCACGTTACCTGAGGTAGCTGTGGAAAATTTAAAAAAAAAAAAAAAAAAATTTTATTGGTATTCAGTACCGTACAATGGGGTAAATAGGGACAAAATCGACCTTCAGATTGAATTTTAAAATAGTTCCAATTAAATAGTCACTGCTCAACCAAAGAAATAAGTTGAGTCTTGAACATACCTAGGTGATAAAAACCGTTACATTATTTTAATTATTCATTTTAAAGAAATAATCGGTAAAATAATGGCCGTCCCAATTTACCCAGCGTCCGGGGTAAATTGACACGGTTAAGGGTTAAATTGGGATATTTGTAAGGGTTGTCAACTCGCAGTACTGCGATATATAGGTAGGTGCCATATAATTATTTATATGGACCGAAATGATGAATACAATCCATAATTTAAGCACAATACACAACATAGTGTAAATTAAGCTGGTTTCTATTCCGAAGCGATGTGACGTGAATGATAATCAACAATACAATGATCAAAAAAAGTATGTGCATGTTATATTTTAGAAAATTATTATTTAATTTCCTTAAAAATCACAACTCTGAAACAAAATGATAAAATAGAATAAAAAATAGAAAACAAAAGGACTGGAAATGCAATAATACAATTTTATTTAATCAACATTTTCAAAATAATCTTTGAGCAAGAGTAAGATATCAGGTGAATAAGATAAAAAAACAGCTTTATCTGATTACTGCCAATAATAACAAAAATAAAAGAAATTCTTTCTAAGCTAAATAACTAAACTCAATTAATTCACTCACTCATAATTGGATATCTCGGATTTTTAATTAATGTTACATTTAAAATCTGAGGCCTGTTTTTATTTGTGTGTGCGTTTTGAATGTTAACAAAATCATGATTCGACGCGTGAATAGATTCTGAAATAACAAAAGTTTTGATTCGTTTGAGTTCTTTTAACTTTTAATTTTTTTTATTGCTATAAAGAACATACGACCGGGCAGATATTACAAGGTAAATGTCGCGAAAAAAAAGTAATTATATATATACTTTTCTTTTACCTATAATACTTACATAAACTAACTGATAAACACATTAACCTTCTTTACATCACGCAATTAAGTGATAGTATAGGCTAAAAAATCTATTATAAGATATCAGTGACAACCCTAACAAGCCATCCCTATTTTGTCTTTTGGCGTTCCAATTTTGTGTTTTCTCGTCCCTAATTTATCCAGTCTCGTTCCAAATTACCCTACATACGTCCCAATTTTCCCCAAAAAGAAAGGAAAAAATATACATTTTTTATTTTGTCGAAATATTGTATTTAAAATAAGAATATTGCAACTTACCGTTTGTTGTGGTATTTCCAGATGTATTAAAAACTTATATAAACTGTGATCTTATTGAAAAAACAACGATAATATTACTTTTTTTAAAAGTTCTTTAAGCTGTTTTAAAACGCACTTTTCAACCACTATTTTAAATTTAATTTGACGAATTTTTGGGACCAACTTAATTCATGTTTAGTACTTCCATAGTTAACTTGGTTTTTCTTCTATACATTGATAAATATTACCTTAAAGAAAATTAGGTAGATTCCGTACTTGTCTTTGTTTGTCAAGTACTTGACTTTGAGAATCTTCCGCAGGTTTGTCCCAATTTACCCCAGAATCCCAATTTACCCCATGTCATGGTATTCAAGATGTCAAAATAGTCTATTTAAGTTTCTAATATTAATAGGCAATATTATTATTTACAATGAAAAGATAGTTTGGTAAAAACCACAACTACAATAGATTAAACGCCGTGTCGTTTATTGTTGTTTATGACATTCTAATTTGAAACTGAGTGAAAAGCTACTCTAAAAAGCGACATCTATAAGAATTAGCCTGCAAGAGAATGGGATAAAAGACTTACGAAGATTTTACCTTTTTTTTTCAATCTTAGCTGATAGGCTATGATGCCTTGTGGGGCTATGTCAGCGTAACCCTAACGTGTAGGTGAGCTCTCGGGGCTCAAACCAGGAGGCGTTACTAACACTGGCCCCAGGAAGAGCAGTGCTTCGCAGAACTATACTGAGACCTTAGAATTCATATCTCAAGATGGGTGGCGGCATTTAAGTTGTAGATGTCTATGGGCTCCAGTAACCACTTAACACCAGGTGGGCTGTGAGCTCATCCAACCATCTAAGAAAAAAAATAAAAGAATTTTCACCGGATCGGGAACGCGACCCACTGAGAAGATCCGGCGAGAATCTCAGTGGGCTGTGTCTATGGGTTACTTTACTCGCCGAACCCTTCGCTTGCGACGAAATTAATAATAATTCATACCCATATTCACACGCATAATTCGGAATTTTACTTCTAACGTATGGGAATTGCATACGATTTTTATTACTGTACATGGGCAGGTGAGCCTAGCGTTAAGTAGAACGTAAAAACAACATGAGAGCGTTAATCTCGACACCCCTCGGAACCCTTCGTGCTGGCTCACAAGATCCCTTACCACCAGTAATTACGCAAAATATCTTTTTTGCGGATTTGAGTTTTTTTACACGATGTTATCCCTTCACCGTGGGCTTCGGCCTCTAGGCCTCTTGCCTTCTGTTTTACCATTAACGATGAGCCTTTCAAAGCTATCAGGGTTTCTGCGTTTTATATAAAAAATAATGCACGACCCGATGAAGACATATGATTGACAGCCGTTTATCATTGGCACACCTCATTCAAACATCCAAATAAGCTAAGAAAGATTTTGTTCCAGCCCAACATATCGATTTTGTTCATTAATTTTATCGATTCATTCACGTCATGATATACTGAATACTTACTTCTTACCATTTTCTCAAGATTGGAATGACAATTAAACAGCTTCTGTAATGTAACCGCACAAAAAATGCTCGATTTCATAATGATACAAATACTTACTTACATCTTTAAAAAAACCGCTATTTTAAATTTCCGTAATGTACTAGATAGTTTACTTAATTAAAGTGTCTAATCGTTTGTTGATGACATTCGTTTTGTATAAATTGTAATTTGGCCGTTGCCTATTTAGCATTCGCTTGTAGAGTAGTACTCGTGTCAATACGCTATTCAAAGAAAAAGGATGCTCTCCTACATCTACCTCGCCTTGCTAGTGGCTGCAAGTATGTACATTAATTCATTGTGCTAATCTTGTATTTTCTGTGTCTTTCATTGCTTAGTATTAGTTTTCAATACTGTTTACAGGCCATGTCCAATCAACTCCCGCTGCTGCTACTGCCCAGAACGTAATCTGCAAAGCCCGCAATGGTTATTACAAAACAGACGCGAATTGTGATACATACATTGAATGCCGGGTAAGAAACTTTCTAACTTTATGTATTACTAGCACAGTTTTCAGCTTTTCTGAATTTCAAAAAAGGTCTACCTCTAAATTAGGTACATACCAAGCTATTAAGGTGCTAAACCAAATCGAAGTATGAACACGCTTAACTTTTCAGGACTATCAAGCTACTAACATGATATGCCCGGATGGTCTGCACTTTAATCCTAGCGTGGAATGGCCGGCATATCCTTGCGGTTATCCAGTTGAAGTGACATGTGTAGGAAGAGGGAGCATCCGTATGTTGTATCAAACTATTAGTGTAATGTTCTTGGATTTTACTACAATCTAGCCTTTCCACATTTACCGAACTTTTACTAAATATTTCAGAGCCTGCCCAAACAACACCGGATTGCCCGCACCAATATGGCATCTTCAAACATCCTAACGCTTCGCCCACCAATTGTGGCCAGTACCGAACATGCGTAGGTGGTCGTGCTTTCGACATGGTATGCCCGCCGGGACTAGCATTCAATCCAGACTTCAGCCGCTGTGACTGGGCCGACCTTGTACCTTCCTGTGATGCTGAAAGTGTGTAAAGCTTTTCTATTTAACCAATAACTTGCACCGTTACAATTCCTATTAAATTTTTATATAGGTACTTCCCGCTTAAATATTACGATTTACATTAATGCCTTATGATATTTTTTCAGAATTCTTGGGTTTCACTTGCCCCCCTGCTCCTTTGGATGCTATCGGCAATCCTCTGAATAATGTGATAAACTACAAGTAAGTTTTTGTTTTTTTAGTTTACATTTTCGGAATTAGGTGCCTCAAACTCTACGTACCGGGTCCAAGATTCCGTGGTAGGCCCAAGAAACGCTGGTTAGATGTGGTAAAGGTGGATGTGGAGGAGAATAACATCACCCAGAAAGATGCCGAAGACCGGGCAAAGTGGAGGTGTTTAAGTAGAAAAGCGGACCCTGGCACTAGACCCGGAAAACGCTAGGAAGAAGAAGAAGTTTATAATCCACTAGCTTTACCCGTCCATTTTGCTGGGCATTTAAAATTAACATTATTATTTCTCACAAAGATTCTCTTCATTAACGCCCCTGCAACTGGTGTAGGGAGCCCAACACTCATATAAATATTAGCCTATCCATTAAGTACATGTATTTTCTACATGGATACCAAGTTTCATGTCAATCGGATGCATGGTTCAGTAGTTATAACGGAATATCCCTAAAAACCACTGTAGATTTATATATTAGTATAGATTAAGATGGGCTTCACTTAGTTGTGTAATTTCTTGACAGGTACGAAGGCAACTGCTACTACTTCTTCTCCTGTGAGCAAAATCGGGCTAGATTGCTGTCCTGCGACATCGGTCTTGCATTCGACCCCACGACTGGACGGTGCGTCGACGCAGACAGAGTCCAGTGCAATGCAACGCAAAACACAAATGACAAGAATCATATATGAACTAATTTGAACTTATACGTTGTTTTTTCAAAAATAAAATTACATTCCTCGTACTGTTTTGTTTATTGATTTGCAAAGGTGACGTGCTTATAATTCCAACGCAAAAATTGTTGGTTATTTCTGAAAGTCTTGATGTTTAATTAAAACCAGTTTTATTCAAAGACATCGATGAGGCAATAGCTTAAGGCCCTCGTGATGTTAATAGAAAGGGGTCTAGTTAATACCATCAAAGATCTAAATCTCTAATGCATTACTTCTAAGCTCACCGAAATATAACCTGCCATTTGTATACAAAATAATAGATTATTAGATAGAGATATAATGCGAAAAGACTTTTTCCCCAACCTATTAAGTATAACAGAAATGTTTAAAATTAACATAAAAACAAAAAGAAATTAGAGACGTAAAGACCCACCATTTCAAGTTTTCATATTTCAAGCTGTAATTGATTCTAATGTATTCGAGAACATTCTTAATCTTAAGTTACTTTATTTTAAATAATTCATCTAGAAGACACGAAGTCAGAAGACACGATTAAACAAAAAATAATACGAACTCGTTTAAAAGAGATTTTATTCTGATACTCAGTATTGTTTTAAGATCTTCCATAGTTGCTTACAACTTAATCAATCTGATAAAACATCAATGTACCAATAATGTTATTTATCACTGAGGAAAAGTCATCAATAAAAATTCATTAAAGTTTTTTATTTATTATTTGCTGCTAGATCGTGAACGAGCTCACAGCCCAGCTGCTGTTGGGTTTTCATCAGAATCGATCAACATCTACAACTCAAATGCCACCACCCACCTTCAGACATGAGTTCTAAGTCTCAGCTTTTAGAGTACAACGGCTGCTCCACCTTCCATACCGAAAGGCATTACGGTTTCACAGCAGAAATAGACAGGGTGGTACCTGCCGTGCTGCTCCGTGGGCTCACACGATCCCCTACCACCAGCAAACAGAAACTGTGTAATTGATTTACCCAGGATAGTTAATCCTGAAGTCGTCGTGGACTAAAGGATAAGACATCCGGTGCATTCGTGTCGAGTGATGCACCGATGTTCGAATTCCAGGCGGGTACCAATTTTTGTAATGAAATACGTACTCAACAAAATATGTTCACGATTGACTTCCACGATGAAGGAATAACATCGTGTAATAAAAATCAAAATCCGCAAAAATTATAATTTGCGTAATTACTGGTTGTAGGACCTCTTGTGAGTCCGCGCGGGTAGGTACTACCGCCCTGCCTATTTCTGCCGTGAAGCAGTAATGCGTTTCGGTCTGAAGGGTTGGGCAACCGTTGTATATATAATGAGATCTTAGAACCTTATAACTTATTATGGGTGGCGCATTTACGTTGTAGATGTCTATGGGCTCCAGTAACCACTTAACACCGTGGGCTCACACGATCCCCTACCACCAGCAAACAGAAACTGTGTAATTGATTTACCCAGGATAGTTAATCCTGAAGTCGTCGTGGACTAAAGGATAAGACATCCGGTGCATTCGTGTCGAGTGATGCACCGATGTTCGAATTCCAGGCGGGTACCAATTTTTGTAATGAAATACGTACTCAACAAAATATGTTCACGATTGACTTCCACGATGAAGGAATAACATCGTGTAATAAAAATCAAACCCGCAAAATTATAATTTGCGTAATTACTGGTGGTAGGACCTCTTGTGAGTCCGCACGGATAGGTACCACCGCCCTGCCTATTTCTGCCGTGAAGCAGTAATGCGTTTCGATCTGAAGGGTAGGGTAGCTGTTGTAACTATACAGAGATCTTAGAACCTTATATCTTATTATGGGTGGCGCATTTACGTTGTAGATGTCTATGGGTTCCAGTAACCACTTAACACCAGGTGGGCTGTGAGCTCTTCGACCCAACTAAGCAATAATCTAAAAAAAAAAAAATTTTTTTTTGAGCATTTCTCGCGAAGTTGAGAATCTGTCTTGGTTAGTAAACTGTTATGTCTGTCGCTATTTTGAAGCCATCAATCACCCGGTTTGAATAACCGAATAATAAGAACGGAAAGATTGTTATTCTAATACAATCAACAATTACCACCTTATGTCTCCAGACGGGCGGTGTTTGCTTTGTGGGGTCTGGTAGAAGCTTTATATTAGAAGTGAACTCGAACGTATGTTTCAACCTCGAACCTACCGCGTAAAACTAAGTGACGACAGGAACTGCATTTCTCTTAAAAACAAGAATGAACATTTTAAGCAAATTTTCTCTAGGCAATTGATATCTAGACTGCGGTGTTTATATAGAGATAATAGAGCAGAAGTGTAGAGTTTGGAAATGAAAAGTAAAGGATGGGTGATAAAAATAACTCTCAACGAGGGTTGGGTAGCGACAGGAGGTTTTAGTCAGTTCGACTCCGACATGCCCCGCCCTCCATGCCCAGGGGAGGGCGGAATTCCGGCGATTTCCTCCTGAACAAAAACTGTCAAAGTGGCAGTCAATCGTTTACTCAGTCTTTGAAGAAAAGAATAAGATTGCGTAAATACAGTGCAACCTTAATTTAACGAACCTCAATATAACGACGTCGGCGATAAAAAAATATTAATTTCTCTTTTCTTCATAAAAATATACAAAACCAACAAAATTCCAATGAACTTGTTATTTATCTATCGATGAATCGATTTAAAAACACATTAAATTAACATTTGTTTAATTGTTTTTAACATTAATTATATTAAAATTATTTAAAAGGCTTTTCAATAGCACTCCAACACCAGTGTCATTTTATACGTGAATTATGTTCGAAGTTATGTCAAAATTCAAATTCATTTTTATTCTGCCACTCTTGTACCACGGTAAGAACTTTAAATTCTATTTCTTTTATTTAATGTATCTGTGCCGCTAAAACGCTAATACGGTATGTTTATACCGTATTATAATGTTTTTATTATGCTTATTACAGCAGTAAATGCAGCGGAACAACAGAGCGGCTTACATTACTATGGAACTTCTTACGTTCGGGACCAAAGTCCAAGCATTACTACATCAGAGGCTATCAAATCTGCTTCTCCTCAACCACGATACATTTTGGCACAATCGCGGACGGTATCCAGACCTATTACGATAGATTTTCTCCCAGGAAGACGACAACCTGCGGTTGTAATATCCCGGACAACACCAACAAATGGAATTAATCCCTGGACTCCGCCTTCAATGACTACCTCTTCAACTCCGCCGCCATATCCGAAATCACCATGGACAATTACAAGTAACGCAGATCCTTCATCATCATTGACAGTTACCAGCAATTCGGAGCCGATTAATTCATATCGACCATGGCAATCAACACAGAGGCCATACTTCACGACGACACCGACACAGACGCACATCATAAATGCAACAATCTCGCCCAATTTAATCATAATGTACCCGGGAGCATCAGCGGGAACTTCAATACCACCATTTCTTCCAAGTGGAACAGGAGTGACATCGCACATTACAGGAATAACAGATGGTCAACCAAGACCCACACTTCCGCAGCCCGTTCAAACTAACTATCCGTACCCTCAATCAAATACATTTCAGACAACAGATAAACCACTGCCCGCATTGGTGTCATCGCAAACTCCTCCTCTTTCTATAGTATCAGTCACAAGGCCTCCTCCAACAACACCGTGGACAATCTCTACAACTGTAACTGAACCTCCAACATCCCCTCTGTATACTGGGTCCCAGAAATCAAACGAGCCTGAACCAAGTCCGCCAAATCCTTCGGTAACAGCGCAACAAAACGTTTTGTTTGGACCAGGTCATTTATCGACGAATACATCCGTTCCTGAGCCTCAACCCGAACAAGTACCAATATCGACTTTACCCGGCCTACAACCAAGCCCGATAACAGGACAAACAATTGAACTACAGCCAGATATAAGTTCCAGGCCTGCCTCAATAATACTGCCAGTTCGTCCTACTCCTCAACCAATCCCTAACCCTATATCCCAGCCACAATCAATTCCAATTTCGGAACCGAACTCTGTTTCTGTGCCACAAGGAGAATTACCGTTATCACCACAACATCCACTTTATCCAAACATAACACCGCGACCTGTTCCAGTTCTTATTTCACAGCCAACAGAATTCCTAACGACAACTACTCCTTTATCAGAGCTTCAGCCAGTTTCAGCACAGCCAGCTGTGCCGCCAATAAGCTTTGTGACACAAGAAACTGAAACAAGGCTCGAGCCACATCCAATCCAGATACCTAAACCTAACCCTCAACCGGCACCGGTGCTTTTACCAGTTTCACCACCAACTCCTTATCCAAACATTTGGTCACAACCACCACAGCCTACACTCTTTCCCGCTCAAAAGCCAATAGATGTACGCCAGCCTCCACCGCCTATGACTTATGCCGCGTCATATTCGAAAACGACTGATTTCGTTTGCAGAGAGGCCTATGGCTACTACCCTGTAACTAATGAATGCGACACTTACATTGAATGCAAGGTAAAGCATGATGTTGATTGAAAATCTCTCAAATAACAGATGTGAGCAGTTTTAAACCGTTTATTATTTTTCAGCAAGGTATAGCCGTCAAACAAAGTTGTCCCGACGGGCTACATTTCAAATCGAGCACGCAATGGCCAGATTATCCGTGCGCATACCCTTCAGACGTTCAATGCACATCGGGGTCCATCAAGCGTGCGTAATTTGATTACTTTTATAGATACCACATACTTTTTTCTTCCAAATTTACTAGTCTACAATATAAAATAAATATTTCAGAATACGCGAATCCGACGGCAGAATGCCCACATGAATACGGTTTTTATCCGCTTAAAGAGAGTAATTGCAGCAACTATATCATGTGCCACGAGGGAAAACCAACAATAATGCACTGTCCTTACGGCCTCGCGTTCAACTTCGATAAAAACAGCTGTGACTGGCCCGAGAACGTACCGGCTTGCAATGTTGATGGTAAGTCATTCTAAAGTATCGAATCAAAATAATTTCCTATCACAAATACGTCAAACGCGTTCAACGTTAAGCACAACTTGAAACATTTGGAACAAGATGGAACGAAACCTTTCCCGATGCAGAACACAAAATAAACCACTGATCTAGCTTAAATTCAAAACATTAAGCATTTGCTAAGTTAAGAATAAGTAGCTGTCATTTACAAAAAATTTGTGATACCATAAATATTGTGCGTTACCTATATATATATTTTTATATTAATAAAGATTAATTTTTTTTATTGCTTAGATGGGTGGACGAGCTCACAGCCCACCTGGTGTTAAGTGGTTATTAGAGCCCATAGTCATCTACAACGTAAATGCTTCCACCCACCTTGAGATATGAGTTCTTAGGTCTCAGTATAATTACAACGGCTGCCCCACCCTTCAAACCGAAACGCATTACTGCTTTACGGCAAAAATAGGCAGGGTGATGGTACCTACCCTTGCGGACTCACGCGAGGTCCTACCACCAGTAATTACGCAAATTATAATTTTGCGGGTTTGATTTTAATTACACGATGCTATTCCTTCACCGTGGAAGTCAATCGTGAACATTTAATATTTACGTATTTTATTAGAAAAATTGATACCCACCTGCGGGATTCGAACACCGGTGCATCGGTAGATACAAATGCACCGGACGTTTTGTCCTTTGGGCCACGACGACTTCATGTGATCATTTTATGAATTTTCAAAACCGCCATATTATTATATCCTAGCTTTTGGGAACGGTTCGAGACATACTGTTGATCCAAAATCTCTTTTATCTTTAGGGCAATTAAATTTTTCGTTGTTATTCCATGTTCGTTCAACAATTGCTTTTTTTATTATTTCAGCGTTCAAAAATTTCACGTGTCCAACTCCACCTATAAATGAAGTCGGCGATCTTTCAGACACCATGCATAAGTACAGGTAAGTTTTCTATCTGTATGCATTATTCACTCAAAATAAATCACAAAAGCTCACTACTCAATAATACAATGAAACGCAAATAGTATGTACCGTGCGCATCTAAATTTGACATGGATAATGCATGGAAATAATAATATAATGTTAACACATCGAATTTAATAGTATGATTCACTAACACAAATATTAGACGCTTACAGCTCTAACACAGCTTAAGATTAACAGCTTCAGAGTAAGCAACGGCGGATCCAGGGGGGGGGGTCATGGGGGGTCATGACCCCCCCCTGAGCTAGTACCAGGACTTGAACTAACTTGGACTAATTGAAGAACATCATGATTTATTTATTATCTATTGTTATCAAAATTAAATTATAAGTTCTTAACTTGCCCACGACTATGTGACCCCCTCCTGGCGCCAAAGCTGGATATAGGGAATCTTTGTGTTTAGTGCGAGTGTTTTAACTACTCGACCGCGTAAAAGTTAACTTAAATTATTTGTACATAGACACTATGTACCTAATAATTAGGTACAAAGTCGCTATCAGCTTAAAAATGACATATTATCTACATAAAGTCTACACCAATTCAAAGCGAGTTAAAATACAAGTACAACCTGATTTATTAGTATGAGAGAGCTATGATTTTATTTTATTTGAATAATATATTGATCGACCACTTTTAGCAGGCTCCACATTATGTTTTACCGAATAGAACAAATATATCTGGAATGCATGCATATGTTTAATATTTAATTGAGCTTTGAATACGAATAAGGCATTGCAAAAAGACGATTGCCATATAAAAATAAGGAATTTTTACTGGTGGTAGGACCTCTAGTGAGTCCGCGCAGGTGGGTACCACCATCCTGCCTATTTCTGCCGTGAAGCAGTAATGCGTTTCGGTTTCGGCTTGAAGGGTATGGCAGCCGTTGTAAGTACACTTGAGACCTTAGAAATTATATCTCAAGGTGGGTGGCGCATTTACGTTGTGGATGTCTATGAGCTCCAGTAAACACTTAATACCAGGTAGGCTGTGAGCTCATCCACCCATCTAAGCAATAAAAACAAAAAAAAAGGAAAATCAAGTAGAAGAATTAATCGAGAATTTTAATCAAGCTAACAATACCACTATTATTTCTAGGTATGGCAACAGCTGCAGCTTCTACATTGTCTGCCATAGAGGATATCCACGTCTGTTGAGTTGCGATCCCGGCCTATCTTTTGATCAAGAATCGGAATCTTGCATAGATTCTGCTCTTGTACCTAACTGTAACATGGGTCAAAAATAAATTTAGTTTTACTTCATTTTCTAGGATTTTTTTTGCGGCACCTTTCGATATATTATTATATTTTTAGTAAATAATGCCTATCTTTTGTTTTTTGTTTTTATTTACTTTGTCCAAATGGATAGCAAAAAGAAAATAACCTTTAATATAGAATTTTGTAATAAAGGGCCGCATCCGTGTCTATTTTAAGAAAAAGTTAAATTACATTGTATTGTTGTGTATTGCCCCCTGTTTGCTTATTGTATTATTTAGAATCTTTTTTAATCAATGCAAATAATTAAACTGGCAATACAAATAGAAATGAATAATTATAGTAATAGAACACAAAGCATCTATAATCAGAATTATTTTCTCTCTGAATTATCTGTTTTGACCTCGCACATCGCTTGAACAACTGATCGCAGCTTAAACAGAACGACAGATTGAAATCATTACAAAAATATAGGTTTTCTTTCAGTAAAACCGGATATTGCAAAAAGTCGTCATTTCATTTTTGGATTTCACTTCTTCGCTGTTAGATGTTACAATGATTACGATGATTATAGTAATAAAATTAATACAAAAGTAAACCTGTCACCCGGCATTGTCGATGAAAGTAACGCTTTCATGTCTTATGTTCGATTTGAATAGTTTTGAATACAAAATTACAACCCACTAAACGTTAAAGCAAAGTTATAAAGTCTGCGGTAGGCAGCGACTTGGCTCTGCCCCTGGCATTGCTGAAGTCCATGGGCGACGGTAACCACTCACCATCAGGTGGGCCGTATGCTCGTCTGCCTACAAGGCAAAAAAAAAAAAAAAATCAGAGCTTTGTATTTTTTGGCTACAGGGCTTTGTATTTTTAACACATATTACTTTTTGAAAAAATAGTGCATGCATATTTTGAACCACCAAATAATACTCAGCCTCCTAGTAAGACTCCTAGTTAGTTCTCATTTTGTTTATTTTTACTTTTTATTTTTTTACTTTATTTATCCTTTCCGCTTTTTGTGTTAATGACTTTGCCTTTTGGGCGGTATTCCCTTTGCCTGCTCAATTCGACCATAGAAACCAAGTAAAAGTTTGTGGTGCTTTTATGATTGGTTGTAGCTAGTAGGTAAAACCGTAGAACCAATAGGATAACAGAAACTTAAAAAATGGTAGCAAAAAGAACAATAAAATCATTTTTCTGCGAAAATAGCGCGATTTTGGAATTTTCTCAAAATATCTTTAAATTTAGTGGTACATTAATCCATTATTCTTGTACCTTGCTGTGCCAAAATTGTAAAATCAATGTGTAATCACCATTTACTCTATGCTTAAACAAAGATATTGCAAGCAAATTAACGGAAACAGGCGGCCCCTCCGAGATGTTCCGCTAGCGCAGCCCTGGCGGACATCGTCCCAGTTGCCTCAACGGATCGAACAGCTGCGTAATCGTGAAAACGGACCAAAGTTACACCACATAATAAATATTTTCTTCAATTATAACTGGAAGAACACTAATAAGTGATGATGAGAATAATTTAGTGAAAAGTGGTACATAACTACAAGAATAAGAGCGGCATTCGTGATTTCAATGAAACATGAAAATGGAAGATTCCTTTATTATAGCCAATTTTAATTCTCTGTGTCGCCTTTGCCTCGGTAAAAGTAGACTCGCCATCTCAATATTCGGAGCTGCACCTGATGACATTAATAACGTATCATTGACCTCCAAAATAGCTGAATGTTTTGAGTTACAGGTTGGTTTAGCTAGATTGTATTTAGTGAAGACCTAAGTGCCTAATAATATAATTTAACATACCTATCATTATCCATTCTTGCAGATCGATCCTAATGATGGTTTACCTGGCAGGATTTGTTACAAGTGCTTATTCAAAGTGGACAAGTGTTCAAAATTCAAATTACAATGTATCCAAAGTGAAAACAGACTCAGACAAATCACAAATCGTATAAATGAAGTAGATACTTCAAACTCATCTGAAATTACTAATTACACATACAGCAATTCCCAAGATGAACAGAAACATAAGCCTGAAGATTTTATTGTTGAAGATAGCGTTGTGATGGTGGTTGATCCTAGTCTTGATTATGATTCTTCGGATGATTCTGAAAATGTAGAAACTGTGGAGCAAGAAAATACTGATCGAGGCAATACTCCTGATGCGGATGCAATTCCGGAAACATTTTTCAAGAATGTTTCAATGTGCCAATATTGTGATCAAGCTTTCATTTCACAAGAAAAATGTAAAGAGCATGAACTAAACTATCATGATCCAGACATGCCTTTTAAATGTTATGAATGCAGTTTGGCTTTTGTGGAAAGAAATCAGTATGTACAGCATACGAAACATGTCCATGGAAATGACAAGCCCTATCATTGCCCTGAATGTAATAAATGTTTTGGACGAAGATCTGATCTAAGAAAACATTCTATTGTACATACAGGTATCAGACCTTACCAGTGTCAATTTTGCTTGAAGAGTTTTTCACGTAACACAAACTTGAGCAAACACTTGAGAATACACGCTGGTCACAGACCTCATGTTTGCCCTCTGTGCCCTCGTAGCTTTGTAGCCAAAGGTGACCTACAACGACATGTTCTTGTTCATTCTGGCATGAAGCCTTATTCGTGCAGAAAATGTCCCTCTACATTTGGACGAAGAGATAAGCTCATTAAACATGAACTAAAACATGGAATTGTTGCCACTGAGGATAAACCTGAAGACTATGCCAACAGTGTTAAACAGGATCCAAATGACATTGTTGTCAGTGTCAATCCTTTCAGTAACCTCATGACTTCTCCAACACAAAATTCAGATCCTTCAAACCCTACTTACGAACTTCCTAGTGTTCCTGACCATATTTCTGGGGAAAGTAGTTTTATAAAGATGCAAAAAGATCCCTCCACATCACATAAACAACAAAACTCATCACCAAAAAAGGCTACACCAGTTAAGAACAGACCAAAAAACATAAAATGCCATCACTGCACAAAAAAGTTTTCTTCCCTAGATGCATACAAAACTCATGTTTCAATTGCTCATATGGGATCAAGAGGATTTCAATGTAAAATATGTTTTAAGAAATTTTCCAAAAAAAGGGAGTTAGATCGACATGCTCCAATTCACACTGGAGGTAAACAATTAGCTTGTGACCACTGTGATAAAAAGTTTACTAAAAAAGACAAATTTGATAAACACAAACAGTCACAGGAATGTTTGGTTGTGAATATGCCTTGTATAGAGTGTGGTGTTACCTTTGAAAAGAAAGCTGACTTGGTTGCACATATTAAATCACACTTCAATGATACCTATGATAAGTTACAGATTCCAGATGTTGAGATTAAAGTAGAGAAAGATCCAGAAATACCATGTGATGAAAACTATTATGATTTGGGAACATGAGATTCAGACATAATATTTAGGAAATGTTATTTATTGGAATAGTTTTCTAAAGATAGTTAGTTTAATAGTTAATGGTTACATATTTATAGGTTTTATCAAAATAATGCTAGAATCTTTCTGTTTAAACTACAATACTTTCTTAAATTGTTTCAAAGTATTACTAAATTAATTCTAATCCTATGTTTTTTTTTGTTAAAACACACAGTAGTGAGAAAGTATTCATTTAATATAGGAACCATGGTAAGTATCATAAAATAGCCTAGACTAAACAGTTATAATCCCCAATAAACTATGTTATTAATATTCTTGATCTCTTTTGTATAACAGTATGATCATATCGACGCTTGAAAGGCAAACGTGACTAAGCTACAATGCGTGAACTTTACAGTAGACTAATTTAAAGTTGAAATACCTGAAAACAAAATTTATTTTAACGAATCTAGCTGTAGTAGAATCTAGCTAGTAGCTGTATGATTGAAATGATTTTAATAGACCTAGAAATATATATTTTTTGCGCATTGAATATGATTATTGCCTATCATTTATATACAAAGCAGTTATTGTTGCTTAGTCACGTTTGCCTTTAAAACATCGATATGGATTAAATAAATAAAGTAGTGTATCTTAAAAGGAAAATGTATGGACGATTTCTAATGTATTGAAACTCAGTACCTAACTAATTGTGTAGTTTGATTTGTAAATATTGCAGTTAATCCAAAGATTTTAGAAAACTAGCTGTAGTTAGTCATACATGTGACATACTCAGATATTAGTTAACTAGTGTGATACATAATAAATAATGTGACTGTTGTTATGAAACACGAAATAATTTGGAACACTAAAGCATTGCACTATTGATCGAGATACATATTCTCTGTAATGTTCACAAAAATCTGAAACTTATAATAAAATGTTCATTTCCATGTTATCTTTTTTGTTTAATTAGCACCAAACAAGTTATTGAGGTAATTCTTCGTTCATTGGCAAAAGGATAAAAAAAAACATAGTATGCACATTTGATTTATTTACTTAATAAAAAGTATTCCAGTCTCAATATGCAAGCCTATAGTCTTGATCAACCAGCTAATGGATTTGCATGGATTGTGACAGATGTGATCTTGGCTTCTGTCAGTGGTCTAAAAGATTTGGGGTTTACTGGCATCTTCTCTAAATCATCTAATGCTTCAAAACCATCGATTACCCTAAAACAAAGCAAAAGATTACCTAATTGTTTTACTCATTTATTGATCAACTCTGAGTACTTGAACAGAACACATTGTTATAATAGCTAAAAAATATCTTGAAATATTGTGTATATTTCATTTTAAAAATAATGATTTATAACTCATGTATTGGTGAATGAATTTATAAGTCATTCATAAAGTTACACTAACCTTCCATAAATGGTATATTTTAAATCTAGATGAGGTTGTTCTCCATACGTAATGAAAAATTGGCTTCCATTCGTGTTTGGCCCATTATTTGCCATACTAACTACACCTCTTGCGTTATGCTGAAAAAATACTTAGGGGTTATGTGTTTGAAATCATTTTAAATCATGAGTGAAGATTTCAATTTTTTTTGCAAACCTTGAGTTCATCCTTAATTTCATCTTCAAATTTTCTTCCCCAAATAGACGTACCGCCTTTCCCAGTTCCCGTGGGATCACCAGTTTGTACTATAAATCCCTGAACAAATAGAATTTGCATGGAAATTTATTAACTTTACTTCATAACGACCTTTTACTCAATCTTCACAATACTACACTTGAGTTGACTATTATCAAAGCCGACAATCTGACTTTTGGATAATTATTGGTAAATCAGAAAAACGAATTATTGACTTTGTATTCCATTGGCAGTCACAAAACTCTTCGGAACGACATCTTAGATAAATAACAGGTTAACTATTAACCTTTATTTAATGCAGGTTTTGAACCGTATTCTTTGAAGGAGACGATTATATTCAAATCAATCTGTATTGACATACCAATAACATTTTTTTGTCCAAATGCACAGATTGCCACCTTTGATAATAGACGACTCACTTATAAGATTTATTCAAATACCTTTATATTCCTGTGGAATAAACAACCATTATAGTAATCACTTGCACATAGAGCTAGAAAATTCTCACACGCTTTCGGACATTGCTCGCAATATAATTCAATCTTGATATCTCCGACGTCTGTGTGCAAAGTAACTGCCATTGTTTCCAGATTATAACTTATTAATACAATTTTACATAATAAATATTTTGTTTAGATATTGTTATTTTTTTAAGTTATGGACAACTGACGTTGACGTAAAAAGACATTGACCAGTTGACAGTGACAACTTTGTATCGAATTGAAACGAAGGGGAAATGACTGTAGATTAAATCATATTAAACCTTGTTTCACACTAACATTATAAATGTGAAAATGACTTTGTTAAGCTTTCACGTCTTAACTACTCAGTGATCACCATGAAATTTTGCATATACGATGCATATGGGACACAAAAACATAATGGTCAGGATTTAGCATGGTAGTAGATGGCAGATGAACTGACGGCGTTCAGTATCAAATACGTTGTGAACATCTGCGAGTGTAACGTTTTTGCTGAATCTACCAACGAATCGAAATCGCGACCAACTGATAGGAAACAGATTAGTGAGTTGTCCGCAGGTTAAGTCGCACAAGAACGGTGAACGGTGGTTGGAATGCCTGAAAGTACAGATTGGGAAGAACCAAAATGCCGTGCTTAGGTCGACGGCGGCTGTGCGTTGCCCCGTCATCTGTCGGGTAAGCAATTAGAGACGGCCATGATAAGAGGATTTAACATAAACGAAGCCGTATTGTACGAAGTTCGCGTTTATAACGCATATCGGAGCGGTAAAATTCTATTAATTATCTAAGCTTAAGACAAAATCTTATTTTTCATTCTTAGAAATTTCTCTTCAATTAGAAATCTTATATCTTTAAACGAGCAATTCTTGTATATAAATATATAATCTGAATCTCGGAAACGGCTCCAACGATTTTCATAAAATTTAGTATACACGAGATTTCGGGGACGATAAATCAATCTAGCTACGATTTATTTTCAGAAAATGTTGTTTTATTCGTGTTTTTAATAATCAACTTTATCGATAATCAACTTAAACATAAACTTTTTTTTTATTGAAAGAAAATAGCAAATTATATAATATCAATATGTAATTCGTATTTAAATATAATTTCTAAAAAACATCCGTCATTCAGAACATTCATAAAAAACGGTCATCCTCCAGTTGCTCTTAAATGCCGAACGGATTCAAATTGATATTCAAATTTGTGGGAAAGAGACAACGTACTCTCATAAAATATTTATGTATATCGGCAGCATAAATCGCCGAAACATATTTCTGAGAAATTGAGTTTTATTTCTTCAATATACGTACGCATTGCATATATCTTTCAAAATTATACTATTTTTCAATAAGTCTATTCCACGTATCAATCATATTTAAGCCATTCGTTTTTACAAGGTTCGTAATAAAGTTATATTAAATTATGTTAAAATATTTTTTTATTTCAAACTTCATCAGTCACAGAACGTTACATATATTTAAAAAAAAAAATTGTGCAAAGAGTTGTTGGTATGATACGGCAAGTAAGTAGCTATTATTCACTGCCGCCAGCCCGTTCGTTTTGTCCAGCGTGAGGTTCGTGCGTGTTCTCATCCATGCCCTGATCTCCGTAGTTTCCGAGCAGCCTTTGCCCGTGAGGGTCGAAAGGGGATTTGAAGTGAAACGTCGCCTTGTACTTCTGTCCCATCACTTCTATCTCGTAGTTTCCTTCTTTCAAATACTCTTTGGTCACGATCGAGTCTTTGTTCGTAACGTAACCAATCCCTATTGGTTTGTCTAGATAGTGGCCGTAGTCTCCGCGTCGCAGGTACCCGACCGGCACGCCGTTTCTGAATATAGCTTCGTGGCCGAACAAAGCAACCTGGAATTCGATTGCGGTGTGAGTCAATAAAATCGAATAAATTTTTACTGGTGGTAGGACGTCTTGTGAGTTCGCACGGGTAGGTACCACCGCCCCGCCTATTTCTGCCGTGAAGCAGTAATGCGTTTCAGTTTGAAGGGTGCGGCTGCCGTTGTAACTATACTGAGACCTTAGAACTATGTTTCAAGGTGAGTGGCGCATTTACATTGTAGATTTCTATGGGCTCCAGTAACCACTTGACACCAGATGGGCTATGAGCTCGTCCACCCATCTAAGCAATATTTTTTTTTAATAATAATTCGATAGATATGACATAGCATGCTTTATTCAGTTGACGAAAGAAGGATGGTTCGTTAATCGACTAATACATAAAAATGTCGTTGACCTGCAAGTTCACGTAGACATCATTAAATGCAATTTCAACTTCTTTTTGTTTATATCACTGATATATTATGTAGGACTTTTTGGCGGGAACGCGAGGAGTGAAGTTGTGTGATTTGTTTTATTTTGTCTATTTAGTGTTTCTTCAGGTTTAAATGTGTAATAATGGTGGTTTATTAACTGTTTAATATCTGTGAAAGTGTACAAATGTGGGAAAATGAATCAAAGCCGTTGGACATAACTTCTCGGAATCCTCCAAAAAGTCCACTGAAAAAATCTTAGTAAATGACCACCATTTTACTGAGATTATATTTCATCCCATATCATCTCATCTCATTTCATTTAATTTCATCCAAGTTGATTAATGTCTCAAATTGATTAATTTGTCTTCATTTCATTTCACTCCATAATAACATTTTTCATAAAAATATGAATATAAATTAAAATAAGTCATGACTTAAAGGTCTTAGTTACCAGGTCATAAAATCCCTTAAAAAAATATATTATGTAATTTAAATGTCGGTTGTTTCGTTTAAATAAATAAATTAGGTATTGTATAACTATACTTACTTTGTCGTCAAGTGTGAAGTAGCCATATTTCTTAGTTACGCCATTAGCGAGGGCCTTCGTTACGTACTCGTTCCCGATATACTCGCCACCTTTCCTGCAAGTGAAACCAAGGTTCGCCTCGATGGGGTTGTCGTCCGGTCTTAAATCAGCGTTCCATAGATGATAACCTAGGAAAAGTATATTATTTTGGTAAATGTAAATATTGACGACACTTTTCAACACAAGTGTACTTTCTGTATATTACAAAGTGGGTTTCTGTGGGACATTAAATTTGATCAGTTAATAGACTATTATTTTTTATTTAACTACAGATGCTTTAAATTATTCTTAACTAACGACCCGCCCTCCCTTCACTTCGGAAACATTAAATTTTATTATTAAGATAGCTGAGTCCAGCGATGTTAGCCGCGGTTATTGTCGTACCGCTGGTAACGCAGCGGGGCCAAGCTAGTCGTCTAAAAAAGTAGCCTAAGTTACTCCTTATATCCTCAGCGACCTATCAGTGAAAGTCTCGTCAAAACCGGTTCCAGAGATTAGCCGGAACAAACAGACAGACTCACAGACAAAAATTGTAAAAAATGTTATTTTGGTGTATGTACCGTATATATATTCATATGCATGTAGTAAAAAGCGGTTATTTCAATATTACAAACAAGCACTCCAATTTTATTTATATGTTTAGATTAGAAGCTTTTTTTTCATGTCGCTTTCCTCGTACAACTACGTTCTCCATTCTCATTTTATATTAAGAAAACAAAGGCCACACCGCAATCGATAGCAGTCCGTTGGTCAGCAGGACTTAAAATAAATTGATTGCATTGAAGTCAGCGGTCGGGGAACCGGGGTAAATTACCCCAAATGGGGTAAAATGAAATTTTGGGGGGTAAAAATGAATTTTGTGGGTAAAAAGTATATATTGAAGTGAAACTTCTTTACAATCGTTAAATTTTTAGTTATTGTTTTCTTTTCAAAATTATCATGGGGGCTATAATATGAAAAATACTAAAAAGAAGCGATTTCGTTTTTTTTGTTCTTCGCCATGGGGTAATATCAAATATTTTGGGGTAATAATTAAAAAAATTCCCCGACCGCTGATTTAAGTAACCACTTAAATTCACTCACCTTTTTCAGCACTGAGAGAGGTCAGAGCCCTCCATCCTGCATTAGTCAGGCCTTTCGCTTTCCTCAGAGCCTGGTACACTTGCACAGCGTTCGCGGAGGGGATGTGCAGCTCCCAGCCCAGCTCGCCGGCCCAGGCCACGCGCAGTGCTCGGCAAGTGTAGGTCTTATTCTCGGGGGAATAAGGAGCTTTCGATACGTGGATACTCCGGTGCGTGTTAAGAGGGAATGCGTCGTTCGATAGCCCTGCGTCTGTGTAGCGCTGGAGGATTCTTTGGCTAAAATTAAAATATTACCTTTATTCTGGTTTTTTATTTATTTTCCCGACCTATTCTAGTAACCTCGAGGGGTTATACTAGATTCTCCGAGTGGGTAGGTGAGCTCACGGACTCAGGGGTCGTGTTAGCAACCTGAGGATGTTGCTAACACGACCCCTAGCAAGAGCCGTGCTTCGCAGAATCTACCACAGGATCGGAAACGCGACCCACTGAGAAGAGCAGTAGGCAGCGGCATGGCTCTGCCCCTGGCATTGCTGAAGTCCATGGGCGACGGTAACCACTCACCATTAAGTGGGCCATATGCTCGTCAGCCTACAAAGGCAATAAAAAAAAAATGATCCAGCGAGAAACTCAGTGGGCTGTGTCTGTGGGTGGATTTACTCGTCGAGGCCTTCGTCGCAAGCGACGGGTTCGACGAGAACGATGACCGGTGCTTGGAGTAACTAAAACCACCGTTAGTTGATCGGGAAGATCCGAAAATACGTGTTTAGGGCGTGTTTTATTAGCTGTCTTCTCGAACTACCCACGGACGAGAAGATATGAGCTTAGTAAACAAGAATATAATATTTTTTTATTAAAGTAAAGTTTAATGAAAGTATAATATTTATAATCTTTAATTGTATCTATACACGCGAGCAAAAGTTTGGAATCACTTACTTGAAATTGGTTCCGCGCGATCTTGCTTACTGTATAAATTTTTAATTATTATAAAAATCGCATAACTTTAAAGGTTCAACTGTCAACTTTAAACTGATACCAAATTCATTCAAATCGAGCCAGTAGTTAAGGAGTTATTCCGGATTAAGTGAAGGAGGTAGGAAAACAAGGAAATATGGAAAAATAATGAATGAATAAAACAACAAAAATTAATAAATAAAAAATTTATTTAGCCTTAAAATTAAATGTCAGTACTTTGTGTTCCCTTCCTTTGCCCTTTTAACTCCTCGAAGACGATTCTTTATAGACCT